CCCGCGGCACAACCCCGGCACCCCCCCAGCTCCTCTATTGCAGGCATCCCCGATTCAGCTGCTGCTGAAACTGACCAGCAGCAGCTGAATCAGGGACGCCTGGGGCAGAGCCGGACTATCGTAAGGGGGGGGCTATGAGGAGGCTGGGGGGGCACCCGATTCAGCTGCTGCTGAAACTGACCAGCAGCGGCTGAATCAGGGACGCCTGGGGCAGAGCCGGACTATCGTAAGGGGGGGGCTATGAGGAGTCTGGGGTGGCATCCCCTCCCACCCTACTCCAGACCCCTCATAGCCCCCCCTTGTGATAGTCCGGCATATCTGATAATCCGGCACCCCCTGGGTCCTAAAGGTGCCGGATTATCGTAAGTTTACTGTACCATGCAACCATTTGTACAGTCTGTTCTAGGAGCGGGAAAAAAGCCAGTATTTAAGGAGGGATCTCTTTTCTACTGATCATTGTGTTTAAGTTGCTTTACTGACGTGTGTCACTAAGCTCTTTCCAATCCTAGCGCTGCACTTTTAGTGCAGTTATTCATAACCTGTGAATAATAAGCCCCTGTGTAGTATGCATTAGTCTTCAGAGAAATGGAATTTCTCTCTCCCCATTCCCCCAAGTATTTATATTGACTGACTTTGTTATTAAAAGCATTCCCACCTCTGTGCTGCTTTCCTTATCTTCCCTCCCTGTGGCACAGCTTGGTTTTACTGCTGACACCTGCCTAGCACGCATAGTTGGAGTAATGTGGCCATCTAGATTAGAGCCTGGCTTCCACGATGTGTTATCCTTGATGTTCCATAGATCTTTTTGGCCAAATGTACCTAACGGAATATAAAAACAACAAGGGATGAGGACATGGTCAAGACTCCTGACTCCTCATCTACAGTACAGCTTCCATCATTGCTATCCTCCTAGAAATGTCATTGATTTTGAGACCTTGAGGGACAATAAGATCATCCAGTCTGACCTGTAGAATACAGAGCCAATTTCACTTCTTTTACCCGGTCACGTGTGTTAACTGAAGTATATCTTCAAGAATGGGATCCAGTTTTGATTTGAAGACAAACAATGGTAAATCTATCACCTAATTTGGTAGTTTGTTCCAACGGTTAATCAACTCGCCATTAAAAATCTGTCTTAAGTTGCAGCACTGGCCAATTACATATCTGACTCTGAGAACTCTTAGGGTATGTCTAAACTAAATGGCTCCATCGATGGAGCCATGTAGATTAGGCTGATCGGCAGAGGGAAATGAAGCCGCGATTTAAATAATCGCGGCTTCATTTAAATTTAAATGGCTGCCCCGCTCTGCCAATCAGCTGTTTGTCGGCAGATCGGGGCAGTCTGGACACTCCCCTGTCGACATGAAAGCCCTTTATCGACCTCCCCAGTAAACCTCATCCTATGAGGCATAACGGGGAGGTCAATAAAGGGCTTTCAGGTCGGCGCGGGAGCGTCCCGATCTGCCGACAAACAGCTGATTGGCAGAGCGGGGCAGCCATTTAAATTTAAATGAAGCCGCGATTATTTAAATCGCAGCTTCATTTCCCTTTGCCGAACAAACAAATCTACATGGTTCCGTCGACGGAGCCATGTAGTCTAGACGTACCCTTACAGGCGAAAAGGGAGCGAGATATCATAACACTCTGCTTTTCTGACTACTGGCCCTCAGTGGGCAAAGGCAGAGCCACTTAATGAACAGGGGCGGTGCTCTGACTCCTCTCCTCAAGTAAGATTCTTGTTGCTTTCCTACAAACATGATCCTGTGCAGCACTGTCTTGTCCAGAAGATGGTTTTCAGCAGCTTTCCCAGGCCCTGCACTTTGGGGGTGTCCCATAGCAGCCACCCCAACCGGCCTATGGAAAGGATGGGTCCCCATGTTGGCCCAGGACGGTGTGAGGCATTACCTCAGAGATTTGGTGTGGAGCAGCAGGAGGAGTCAGGCCCATCCCCTGCACTCACTGTGGTGGCAGGAGCCACAGGAAGCAGAATGACCCAGCAGCCTGTTCCACTCAGCCACCCATCTCCCAGCCAGGGTGCTTTCCTTCCTGCCTCCGTGGGGAGTGCTGATGGGGGAGCAACCCCTGATGCCACCATGCCCCAGATGCTGTGGTAACACCCCAGATCCTGTTTCTTAGGGGAGAGGGGATCAGGGAAGGACTGCAATGAAAGTAGGCAGGGGCAAGGACTAGGGAAAGCGGGGGAGGTTGCCCCAGGCCCTGAACCCTTCTAGTGCCAGGCCTGATGCTGTAAATGATTCTAGGTCAAAGAAACTGGTTTGATCCTCATTAGCAACCAACCCACCATATTGTGAACTTCTTCCATCTTATTCTTCACTTACCTATGTATTCCCCTTCTAGGCTCCATAGCCTCACTGTGCAGTCCAAGGATGAGGTGAGAAGCAGCTGGTTTTCACTCACCAGGGTGACACTGCTCCATTGGAAGAAAAAAGGAGATATTGACATTGTCATACTAAGGGCTTGTCTGTGCAATACAGCAATGCAGGCTTCATGGCAGGGGAGGAGGGTGAGTCCGTGTCAGCAACTAATCCACGTGGATCCTGCTGGTGCAGGCTCCAGGTAGTGCACACTAACATTATGCGGTTTCAGACAGGTGCTGTGTTTAAAGCACACTAAAGAACTTTTAGTTCACTATTAGTAGGGTCTACATGGACCAGTTAGAAGGCAATACATTAATGCCCTTTAGAAATCACACCAGAGGTAGGGTCCACAGGCTGGATACGGCCTGCCAAGCCATTTGATCCGGCCCACAGCCCCCCTGCCATACCCCCACCCCGCTGTTCCCCCAAACCAATCAGGGCCTGGGGGTGGAGGAGCACATGAAATCTCCTCCCCCCATCCAGGGGCTGGCCACACCTAGAGGGAACAGCTCCTTTCTGCCCAAAGCACCACCACTTTGGGGAATGACCTGTGACCAAGGCCAAAATTTGTGAAGTGCCCCCCCTGTAAAAAGTATTGCCCACCCCTGAATCACACCCATGAACCATGTATTGCTTCACTGTGTAGTCTATCCATAAAAGGAAAAAGTCCTCAGGAAGTTGGGAACCATTTCAACTGGGTTAACCAGAAACAGACATCACAGAATAAATTGCAAGGGACGCCATGTCTGTCACTTCTTCTCAGAATGGATATGGGCTACTTTTGTTGCTACACTTCAAAAGCGAAAGTGTCCCGTGAAACCCAGGGTCAGCTGGGGACTCCAGCTGATCCAGGGCTCCACATGGCACTGCCACTTTGAAACGCTGCCTACAGCCTGATGTCAGGCTCCCTGCGGCGTTTCAAAGCGGCAGTGCCACATGGAGCCCGGGGTCAGCGGGGGAGTCCCAAGCTGATCCTGGACTCCACACGGCACTGCCACTTTGAAGTGTCACAGGGAGCCTGCTGTCAGGCTCCTTGCAGTGTTTCAAAGTGACAGCACTACACGGAGCCCCAGGATCAACTGGGGGGTCCCTAGCTGGTCCCAAGCTGCACACAGTGTTTCAAAGCAGCAGCACCGCAAGGAGCCTGGGGTCTGGCCCCAGGCTTCAAGTGGTGCTGCCTCTTTGAAGTACCCCTCCTCCTCTCCACTGCCTCTTTCTGATAAAGACAGCAAAAGGGGGGAAGCACTTTGTTGACTAGCATGTCGACTATCTGATAAGCATTTGCACTAGTCCTTCACATCCCTACTGTTAATGTCTTTGCCTACTCCTGTTTTCCTTTCTCCTCAGATTTACTTTAAAACGTGTCCTTATGGTATCCTTAAGTGTATGTACTGAGAGATGGTATTACAGTAGCTCTTTGCATTTTATTGGCACAATACAGAGCGTGAAATTGATTCTTCTTTAGGCTACATCTATACTACAGCCACAGGGGTGACTGGCAGCTTGCACCCATTTTAGCTGTACTCTAGCCAGAGTGCTAAGAATGGGAGCAAAGGCAGCAGTGTGGCTAGATGGGCATTTGCAGCTTTCAACAGAGCCTGCAACACTGCATCATCACTGCTATTTTTAATTGAGTTAATTATAGTACACTAGCATGGATGTGTCTACATGGGCGATAACTCACATTCCCAGCTGCAGTGTAGAAGCAGCCCCTTAAGCACCCTCAGTTGCCACTCTTATATGCTCTCTCTTTGCTCCAGCCCCAGACCTTAAAAAGGGTTGCAGCTAAAGTGGACTCCCAAATATTCAATGAGTTTGAAATAACAGATTCTTCCACGTGCTTCCAAAATGACTATGAATGGCAGCAAACTAGCAGCCAGAGCAAAACAGACACTATAGCAAAATTTAAAAAACAATGCACTGAAATTATCCTCCAGCTGGCACATTTTAGCCTCTCACATTAGCCACTCTGACCTGCTCTACTGAGACTGCAGGAGTCAACTAAAAGCAGAAAATAATTCCGGGTTAAAGTTGGGCAAAATAAAAATATTAAAAGCTTTAACTCTCTCCAGATGAATCCCCGTAGCCCGGGTCCTGCTGGGCTAGCGCCTGGGCCATGCGGGCAAACATGTCTGTGTTCCGGTGCCGGGAGCGGGTGTCGTGCAGGGCTTCCTCCTCCTGCCACAGGTCCATGAGGGCTTCCAGCTCCCCCGATGAGCAGGATGGGGCCCATCTTTTTCTGGCCCAGGGGGCCTCCTGTGCTGGGGGTGAGGGTGCCTGATCCCCCTCTGGAGCTGCCATCGTGCTCTGGGGTGGCTGTTGAGGACGGCAGGGGCCATGTGGCAAACCTCTGGCCAGAGGTCCAAGAAGGGCTCCTGCTTCGTGACCTTAGCAGCCTGTGTCTGCTTTAAGAGGGCTCGGGTTACCAGGAAGTCCGGGAGCTGACGGCGGCTAAGGAGTCTCCAAGCGGCCACTAGGGCTTTTTTCCGTTTAGCCTGCTTTTCTGCAAAACGTCTTAGCTGCCTGTCTACACTGGCCCTCTTGCGCAAAATCATTTTCACAAGAGGGCTTTTTCCTGAACGGGAGTGTCAAAGCATTTGCGCAAGAAGCACTGATTTCGGACAGTAGAACGTCAGTGCTCTTGCACAAAATCAAGCGGCCAGTGTAGACAATCTTGCCAGTGTAGATGCACCCCAGGTGTTTCTGGTTGGCTCATTAAGCAAGCCTGCTCCAGGCAGCCCCACCCCCTTCTCTCACAGCATCCTACCCTGAGGCTTTCCATACAGCATAGAGAGCAACCCTCCTGGCAGACAGTTCAACAGAGTGACTCTCAGCCAAAAGGAAGTCTTGCCATCATGCATGGGAATTACAGTGGATGAGTGAAGAGAGCAAAGAACAGAGAAGTGTCTATCACCTATACAGGCAGTCCCCGGGTTACGTACAAGATAGGGACTGTAGGTTTGTTCTTAAGTTGAATTTGTATGTAAGTCGGAACTGGTACATATTGTAGGGGAAACTCTAGCCAAACATTTCTCCAGAGCTCAGTTTTATTCTCCCACACCTCACTTCCCTCAGTCCTTTATTCTCAAGCTGAGGTGTCTGCTGAGAAAAGCCGCTCCGCGTCTCCCTGGTCTGCTGGGGTGGAGGAGGGCTGCTAGCTTCGCGTCTCCCTGGTCTGCTGGGGGGAAGCAGCTAGTGCAGGGTTGCCTCACCCCGTTTGTAAGTAGGGATCCGATGTAAGTCGGATCCATGTAACCCGGGGACTGCCTGTACTTGGCTGTACTAGCACAGTCCCCAATATCAGCATATTTATAAAGTGTTTTTTCCATCTTTAAAGCTCTCAGAAATGTCTGCAACCCAACACCCATCACATCACAACTGAAATCAGTCCCCTTTGGGAACAGTCACGCTGTGACTATGCCCAACAACTCACTCCCCAGTGCACTGCATGAGGAATGTAGCTTGGCAGAATGGAATTGCTTAACTAGAAATGGGCCAGAACACAGGCTGACATCTCTAACCTTGTGAAGAGTGCATCAGATAGTCAATAACCCCAAAGAGGCAGCAGCTTGGTTTTATGTTCCCTGTGATACACCCTCCCCCATGCTTTATGAAATTGGCTTATGAATATAAATATGCATAACTTGAAAACTTTTTGGACAAAATTCCTCATGTAACCTCTCAATTGTAATGTAACAATCTGCTGGATCTACATATTTTATTTTGGGGGCATGTAACATTCTTGAATGTACAGTTAGAAATACGCAGTATGAGAGTGTTTATGGCTTTACATGGGCTAATGAGCACCTGAAATGGTGCTCTGGAAGCCTTAACGACTTGTAAGCTGCTTTGTTTGTCCTTTAAGTCTAAGCAGTGGTTGGTCCTAGGAAGACGTGTGTCCATATCACCTTGTTCTGGGATACTAGTTTGACCAGGTAATTTTCCATGGAAGGCAGGATGTAGAACAAAAGATTCCCACACACGGAAAAGTCTATTTAAACAATGGGAAGCTATGAGTCCCTTTGTCTTTGCCTAGCATGACACACCCAAAAGGAGAACTGAGGACCCAGGTCTGGTGAAAAGAGTCTCTGCCTGAAGATTATGGCTAAGACAAGGACAGCCTTTTAGGGTAAGAGTTAGGGATGTTAAGTAGCAATTAGCTAATCAAGTAGCTGATGAAATTTCCATCAACTACTCAATTAATCGATAAGAGGAGGGTGCTCACTACCTCCACTGTGGCTCTGCAATTTAACTCTAGTAGGAGTGGGGCACGTAGACAGCAGAGCCACAGTGGGGTTAGGTCCTGGGGCCAGTGAGAGCCAGAACTAAGCAGTTCCAGCTCGTACTGACTCTGGGACCTCTGCGGCTCTGCATTTTAAATGTAGTAAGAGCCCACTGGACTTTTACTACATTTAAAATGCAGAGCTGCAGCAGGGTTAGCTCCAAAGGGTGCTACAAGCCGGGACTGCTTGTACCCCAGCCCCCCCCCCCCCAGCACAACTCCTGCTTCTTCCCCCACTTGCTGCCTCTGATACAAAAGCAGCAAGGGGGGGAAGTGAGTAGTGACTCGACTACCCAATAAGCCTATGCTTTCAGATAGTCGACTACTCGAGTAGTTGCTTACATCTCTAGTAAGAGTAAGTTTGCAATAAGCTTTAGTGTATTAGAACTAGTTATGCACTTTTTTTAATTTGCAATTTACTATGAGCTGCTGTTTTCAATTGCAACCACATAAATCCTGCTGTTTGTAGTTAATAAAAACACTTTTGTTTACTATCAAGCCCAGTGCAAATCATTGTTACCCGAGGGGAACAATCAGTATGAATGTCCTCCTTTCATTGATAAAGGGAGTTTTCTTGCATGAGCTTTCATTGTGTAAAACTCTTACAGAGACAGATTTTTTGGGGTTTGGATTCCTTGGGGATCTGATTTCCTGGGTGCTGTGCCCTAGAACTGCATTCTCCCAGAGCTGAAGTGATTCAGTGTCTCCGTTGCTCTTTGGGGGAGGGGGAGTTGGTTACCCCAGCAAGACTGGAGGTGAGGAATCCCGGAGAGCAAGAAGGCGAGTGTCAGTGGCATAATCAGTGAACCAGGGAACAGTCCCAAGGGGTGGTCTGTGAGCTCACCCGTCACATTCCCTATGAAAAATTATGATGTAAGGATATATCTTTAGGTGGAAGATTATATGGCATCTCTAATAGGTAAAGAACAGACTATGAAGTTTATTTTACCTTGTAGCACTGCAGCTGTGAGCTCTCCAACTCTGCAGCACTTGACAAAGGGATGGAGGGAAAAATAAGATGCAAATCGGTTATGAAGATATCGGTAACATGCAACCGAGCTTTGTGGCACTGTGATTGAAGGGGGAGGAGAAAGTGGTGCTCACAAGCTGGCGGTTTCTCCTCTGGTCCCTGAAGGGCATATATTGTGATGTTCCAAATATAGATGTAACCCAGCTGGTCAGCTGCACACAGAAGGCAATCATCATCACTGACAGCTATGTCACTGATTGCAGACCTCTTCTTGGACTGTAAATGAAAGAGGAAAGATGCAGCAGTGAATACAATCCTCGCAGGTGCCTGGCAGCACAAAGCAATTTTTGGTAGTGGTAAGCCAAGGTCTTCATTCATAATTCAGCTACACAAATATGATGCTGGCAAGCCGTGTAAGACAAGGGCAGCAAATATTCCCCAAGATATACAATGGAAACAGGTGATAGGCTAACTAGCAATGAGACACAGAAAGGAGCAGCTGGATTAGCTGTATTTACAGGCAAAAAGGAGGAGCTTGCGTATTTCTTTGTGTCAGAGGACAGGACTGCATGGCAAGTGAGGATGTGACTGGAGCACGGGGAGGTATACCTCTGCTTGCTTTAATCAATCAAACTAGCACAAGCAACAACAGACGACATGGCAGGGCCTTCCACATTAGTTGCTAGCCCACATGCCAGGTAACCCGGGTACACAGTCAGGTCATTAGCCATGCTGAAATAACTGACTACCACATCTCCACTATTGTTATTAATTCATACTAGCCAGCATAAAGCTAACACAGGTATGCTCATCTTTGCTACATTTACAACCTTCCCATGCAGTGCAGACATACACTGAAGGGCTGTGTCTAGACTGCATCCCTTTTCCGTAAAAGGGATGCAAATTAGACACATCGCAATTGCAAATGAAGCGAGGATTTAAATCCCCTCGCTTCATTTGCATAAACATGGCTGCTGCTTTTTTCCGGCTCAGAGCTTTGCCGGAAAAAAGCGCCAGTCTAGACGCAGATCTTTCGGAAAATAAAGCCTTTTCCGAAAGATCCCTTATTCCTCTTAAAATAAGGAATAAGGGATCTTTCGGAAAAGGCTTTATTTTCCGAAAGATCCGCATCTAGACTGGCGCTTTTTTCCGGCAAAGCTCCGAGCCGGAAAAAAGCGGCAGCCCTGGCTCAGGAAAAGAAGCGGGGGGGATTTAAATCCCCGCTTCATTAGCAATTGCGATATTTCTAATTTGCATCCCTTTTATGGAAAAGGGGCTGTCTAGACTGCATCCTGCTGAGTAGACATGTCCTAAGATGCCGTAGGACTCCTTGGGTTATTTTGCAGATACAGACTAACACTGCTACTGCTCTGTGACTAGAAAGCTCCGAGCCGGAAAAAAGCGGCAGCCATGTTTATGCAAATGAAGCGGGGGGGATTTAAATCCCCGCTTCATTTGCAATTGCGATGTGTCTAATTTGCATCCCTTTTATGGAAAAGGGATGCAGTCTAGACACAGCCAAGGGGTTCTGTGAGTTTTTGAGAAATGATGCACTAAGATACAGCTTTAAGGGGAAGACCCCATGTGCCTGTTGGACAGCATTGCCAATACTTAGTATTTGTGGAGCATTTGCGTCTTTAGAATGTTCTACATACCACTAACCCTCATGTTACTCTGTCAGGTGGTATTATCCCCGTTTCACAGCTCTTACAGCTAAGACAGAGAGACTTGCCCAAGGCCAAGAGGAAGTTTATGTCATAATGATTGTAATTTAGCAGTTCTTGGTGCTCAAACCAAACTAAAACTCCTGAGAGCCTTATTCCTCTAGCATATATAGTTCCTATGTAAAATGTATACTAGAATCTACCAGGGCTGTTTCTGGATATTTCAAACTCCTGATCCGAGAGCACGGTGGGATTAGCACCAAGTGATTATAATTATAAGTTTACCACATCCCTGTACAGCTTGGTGGGCTGTAACATCTGAATTTAAGAGAAAGGGAAAACTCCTGACAATCTAAATTCCTTGATATGTTTAGATGCTTCTGGAAAACCCTTTCCTCCACTAGGCATGTAATCCTGTGCTTTAAAACTATTTAGCTGTATTACTTTTTCAAAATAACAGTATATGAATATAAAATATGAATTAAGACTATTAGGTTTTTAAATTTGTCAATAATGTAGGTTGCTTGTTTGCTTTACATTTAAAAATAGAGACTCTCCTCTAATTATTGGGTATTTAAAAGAACAAAGTATGAATATGACACAGAATGATTCTCTACAGCAGCTTGATAAATAGGAAGAGTTCAGGTGAGGGAAGCATAAACCCTTTAAATACTTAGCAATTCTATAGTATATTTTCAACCAAAGAGCTCATTGGTTTTCATATATTAATCTAATTTGATCATAGATCAGGGGTGAGCAATAATTTTCAAATGGGGGGCCACGCCAAGATTTTGGTAAGTGGTCATGGGCTGCACTTTTATGAAGGGGATTTGGGGTCAGGGATGAAGGCTGGGTGCAGAAGGGAGCTTGGGGCAGGGGACTGTGGTGCAGGAGTGGGTGTGGGGTCTGAGAGGGAGTTTGGTTGAAAAAGGAATTGTGATCTGAGGCAGGAGAATGGGGTGAAGGTTTAGGAGGGGGTATGGGTACAGGAGAGGACTCTGGCCTAGGGGAGGTGTGTAAGAGTGGGTGCAGAATCTAGGAGGAAATTGTGACCTGGAAGAGGTAGGAAGAGAGGTACTGAAGTTTTGGGTGGTGGCCTGGGGCAGATTGTTGGGGGAGGGAGGTAATGGGGGCCAGAACCAAGCTCTGGCTGTGAGGCCTTTACCTAGGTCGTTCCCAGCCAGCAACCCTACAGGAACATGAGGCTGCTTGTCTGGGGCAGTCCCAAGCTGCTCCATGTGGCTCTGCTCTGGGTGGGAGGATGGGAGAAAGGAGGAGGCTTCATATGATGCCCCTGACCCCAGCAAAATTTCTCAGTTTCTATTGGCCAGAAACTGGCCAGTGGGAGTTGAGAAATTTTGCTGGGGGCAGGGGCAGTGCACAAAGTCTCCTCCCTCCCTTCCCAGCATCCAGAGCAGAGAGCAGCCAGTCTTTAAAGCAGCTGTAGCTGCTCTGTATTAAGGGTCCTGGCGAGGTGGCTGTGGGCTGGATCCAGCAGCTTGGTGGGCCAGATTCAGCCCGCTGGTCACATCTTGCCACCCTTGGCATAAATAGACAAGGGAGATTCAATGAGATCAATTCACCCACCAATAATATATTCCAGCACTATCTACTATATATTTGAGTGAGCTTGTGTCTTTCTGTGTGTCCATTCATCCATCTGTGAGTCCAATTATTCAAGAAATCCTTAGAGCTAGAACCACCAAATTTGGTATGCAGCTTCCTCTTATCATACAGTAAGGTAAAGGTTTGGTTGTGCCAGGACAATGGGATGTGCATAGAATGTGATTTTTTTTAAATTAAAGGGAAAGGGAGGGCTATGATAGCAGGGACAGTTTGGGCTTGTCTAGACCACACAGAAGATTCGAAAGAGGATATGCAAATTCCACAGGAATTTGCATATCTTCTTTCGATCTCACTTTCGAAAGCGGAGCTTTCAAAAGTGAAAGTAATTGGGATGCACTTTTTTTTTGGCAACCCCCCTTTTTCCAAAAGCCGTGTAAACCTCATTTTTTGGGGCTGCCCTGACTACTTACGCTTTCGAAAGCAGAGCTTTCAAAACTTCTGTGTAGTCTAGACATAGCCTCATACTCCCAAATGACTAGAGTGCAGGGGGGCAGCAAGTGCCCCGGGTTGGCCCTGGGGAGCAGATGGCAGCTGTATAGTGCAGCCTCCACTACCTTAGGCCAGCCCTGGTGAGCAGCTGGTGGCCACCCCTATCCCCTAACTCTAACTACTGAATCCCTGAAAGACCTGAGCAACATTGGGTAAAACTTCTAGTACAAGAATAAATGCTTAGTAGCAAAAGAACACAAATGCATATGAGATAAAATTCATTACAAGATTTGCCATTTGTGATAGCTGCTTAAATAAGGGCGCATAAAAGACTATAAATAATTTCTCAGTTAAATCTCCATCTTAAACTTCTATAGTCTACAAATACCAATTTGGTCTCTCCTTTAAAAATACAGGTTAAAATTACTGATCCTTCTTGTGTCCAACATAAACATTCCTTTCATCAATCAAAAACAATATTATCATCAAAAGTACCCAGTAATTTTTGTGAAAATAGGTAATCAGCACTTACTCCAACAAAATAAGCAAATAGCTTCCCTTCTCCAAATATATTCCAAAACGTAATATAACCTGAAACACCAGAGAACATAAGAAAACATATCAACCAATTATATAGGAAACTAGTTTCCTAATACTTTTAATTGTAAAATTAAAAACAATAATGACAAAAAAGTTGTAAACCACCAGATTTCTCTCATAAATACATAACTCTAGGGCATGGTGGATTCCATACCTGTCCTCAATGGATAAACTGTGAAAAACACACACACACACACACACACACACACACACACACACACACTTATCTAAGACCAAATAAAACAAACAAATCAAACCTACTAACTTTCCTACTGCATAGCCCATATATATCTTAACTTCCTTTCCCCAACCCTGTACTTGCCCTTTACCTTATTCCAATACCTATCATAGTATTATAGGTAACTTGGAGTTCCTTGAATCAGCGTACTAAGGATTTTACCAAGAAGACTGATGGGGTACATCTAGACTACAGGCTTTTTTCGACAGAGGCTTTGTTGACAGATACTGTCGACAAAGCCGCTGTCGAAAAAGAGTGTCTAGACTGCATTACGCGGACTGAAAAATTGATCCGCTTTGTTGAAAAAGAGCATCCAGACTGCCAGACACTGTCGACAAAAGAAGGCACCTGGAAGTGCTTCTGGCAGGTCACAGGGGGAGCCTTAAATTCCAGGTGCTGCTGCATGCTCTTTGCAGAGATGCGTGCTTAAAGGGATCCTCCTGGACAGCCGTTGTTCTGCTCCTGCTTCTGGCTTGCCTACCTCCCTCCTAGAGGGAAAGCAAAGTTGCTGCAGTTCTTGCTTTGGTTGCCCTGCTTCCTCGGACACCACAGCAGTTTATTTTCAGGTTTGTTTTTGTGCTTTGCACTGTGTTTTTGGCCATGGAGCCTGAGCAGCCCCTGGGCAGGCGACGGCCCAACACTGTGATGCTGGAAGTTCTGCTGCATCTTCATGAAAGCATCATGACGTTTGTGGCAGAGCTGGATTCAGAGACCAGCTTTGAGCCCCTCACTCAGGCTGCAGCCCCACTGCCCTTGCCCCTGAACTTATTCCTGGAGAGGCGAGTTTGGAGGCTGGGCACAAATTCTGACTGGTGAGAGCGGCTTGTTATGGAGCAGTGGGACGATGCCCGGTGGCTCCGAAACTTCCGGATGCGGAAGTCCACCTTCCAGGAGCTCTGTGCCTAGCTTGCTCCTGCCCTGCAATGCCAGGACACCCACTTGTGGCCTGCCATTTCCCTGGAGAAGCACGTTGCTATTGCTCTGTGGAAGCTGGGCCACTCCTGACAGCTACTGCTCCATGAGACATAAGTTTGGCGTGGGGAGGTCTATTGTTAGGGCCGTCTTGATGGAGGTAAGTCACTCTCGGGGGACAGTCCATGGGGGCGGAGAGGCGGATAAGGGGGACAGTCAGGACCGGGCACAGGGAATGGGGTGGGAGTGGTAGAAGCCTGGCCTCACCCTGTGGTGGTGCGGGAGGCAGGGGGGTTGCCTGAGGGGGGGTTCTCGGGGGGGCTGCTCTGAGGGGGGGGCTCTTGGGGTCTGGGAGGGGAGGGGTGGCGGAGCACTTCTCATCAGCTCACGCAACTCCTCTAATGTCCTGTTATGTGTGTTTGTATATGTCCCTTTCTGCAGGTGGTGACAGCCATCAACTCAGAGCTGCTTCACAGAACTGTCTGCCTTGGAGACCATCTTGGCTGGATTTGCAGGGCTGGGTTTTCCGAACTGCGGTGGAGCACTCGACAGGACTTACCTCCCAATCTGTACACCACCCTATCGAGCAGCACAGTATATTAATAGAAAGGACTACTTTTCCATGGTGCTGCAGGCCCTGGTCGACCACTGGGGATAATTCACAGACATTTGTGTCGGGCCTTCCTCCCTGCTTGGGGGACACGGGCTGATGTGGAGGGCACATGATGCCCGCATATTCCAGAACTCCTACCTGTACCACAGGCTGTAGCATTCTTTCCGGAGAGAAACTATGCAGTCAGGGATGTGCAGATGCCTACATGCATCGTGGCCGACGTGGCATACCCCCTTATGCCCTGGCTCATGACGTCATTCACGGGACACCTGGATGCGAGTAGGGAACTCTTTAACTCCTGCCTGAATCGGACTCGCTTCCAGGTGGAGTGTGCTTTTGGCCATCTGAAGGGCAGATTTGGATGCCTGCTTACTTGGCTGGACATGGGGGAACACAACATCCCCCATATGGTTGCTGCATTCTGTGTGCTGCACAACCTAGTGGAGAGGAAAGGGGAGGCCTTCCTCCCTGCTTGGGGGACACAGGCTGATGTGGAGGGGAGGCACTTTGAGCAGCCCCGGACAGCTGCCATCTGGCAAGCCCACTAGCTGGGATTGCGCAATCGAGAAGCAATTCTCCCAAGGAGGCTGATGATTTTCCCCAGTGTTACCAGCAAAGGCGCACTAGTAAACTAAATTTAGTGTGGTGCCAAACAAATGGAAAATGCCTTTGTCCCAGAAGATGGTCCGACCTGGAAACCACCGTATCTATCACCGGCGGATTTCTCCAGTCCGAAATAAAACACGGACACGAATGTCAAATTTAAAAGATATATTGACTACAACACAAAGAATAACCCCAGAATACAACACTGCATAAACCAACCCCTCACCCCAGAAGTGACAGAAGATAGCACAGACAATATAACAAGAGAAACTATACTCAGTCTGTTCTAGGGGTAGATGACAGCCGAGGCTCAGGACCTTCAACCCGCTGGCATAGGCAGCCTCAGGGGAGGAACACTGAGGAGTCCAAATGTAGATGATGATCTGTCGATGTTGTGACAGCACGTGAGTAGAGCGTGCACACACACACGGTGGAAACGGTTCTTGGCTATGGAATAAGGGCTTTCACCGCAGTAATCGGAGTAGAACTAGGTGGTATGTTTGGTTCGGTGATGCAGGTAGCTAGAGCCCACAACACTGGGCAATTGCCACAGTAGTGAACTGAAGCACCCTGTAAGTAGCTAGAGATGGTGATCCGTCCCGAAGTAGGTCCCAGCCTTCACCACGGTCCTTAAGAACAGGCGGACGAACCGAACCGAATGAGCGAAGATGAACCAACCCGATCTCTTCAGGGGCCTGAACTTATAAAGATCCCCAGGCGGGAAAACAGCAGGAGTGTCTCTAGTGCACAAGGTATGGTGTTGGGTGCAAATTAGCGTTCCTGGTGCAGACTTTAGTGCTGTGTGCAGAGCAACAGTGCCATGTGCTGTGTGCAGACAATGGCTTTTGGCAGCAAACTCCTTTACTCCTTTGGGTTCCATTTTAATTTCTGTGTGAAATCCAAGACTCCATTTTGATTTCAGTGTCCTTACATTTGTAATGTCCTTGATCTTAATATCATAATTTACAGTCAACACCTGGGCCTTCCAATTGTGGGTTTGCCCCATGCCCCCAGTGCCTTCCTCCCCTAAATCCCTCCCGGCCCCACATTCACACGTATGCATTCATCACACACAGACAACAGAGACAGGTGTTCTTGAAAAAGTATTTACAGTTTATTTCACTGTTGGTTTTTTGAAAAACTAAAATACTCTTTTGTTCAGAAAAATAAAGTGTTTGCAAACAAAATAAAGTGCTTCCCTCAGTGACTCTCACAGGTGGGAAGGAGGAATGTCAACCTGGAAGCGGGGAGGCAGACTCAGGGCGGAGGGTGATGCCTTGATGAAGAGCCCCTGGCACTTTGGCTGCGGAGGTCTTCTCGCAGACGGCCGTGCATGCGGGCTGGGACAGTAGGGGGCTGGGCAGGAAGTGGGGCTGTACCTGGTTTTGGGATGGCAGAGGCTGAGGGGGGAGGAGGGCAGGCTGAGCAGGAGGAGCAGGACCAGGCACAGCAGCGGGGAAAGCAAAGCTCAGTGTGCTGCTGGACAAACTCGTCCAGCAAGCGCCTGCGCCACTTTGCCTCTGCCTCCATCCTCTGGTTCACTGTGTCTTGCAGGACTGAGATGTGCTGGCGCACCAGGTCCAAATACGTGTGCCAGTGCCGACGGGTTCTCTGCAGCCATCTGGGTGGTGGGACAGGTGTGGTGCTCCCCTCCTGGTCAGCTGGTCTGGCTGTGGAGGAGGAGAAGAGAGAAAAGTCATCAGTCATGCATGCTCACACTTCCCCTGAGAGGGCATGCCCTCCTTCTCAGCAGCCAGTGCCTGTCCTAGGGTCAGAGAATGCTTGTGTGTGTCTCAGGAAGGCATGATGTGGCCTGGCCAGCAGCCACGGCCTCCCTGGAGCCCAGAAGGTGTGTAGGCCTCCATTCTGCCCCCTCCCCCCACACACACACCCCATGGCACCACACCTGTCCCACCACCCAGACAAGTGTCAGGCTACAGTTGGGGTTCCCACAGGTTGCTGAGAGGCCTGAAGCTGTGTGGCAATCCCAGCATCCCCAACCCATGCCTGCACCTGGCATCACTGCCTGCAGGAGCAGGTGGTGCCTCGCAGTCACGTGGGTGCAGGGGTAGGACGTCCCTCCCTGAGGTCGGCCACGTGTGTGTGCGTGTCCCCTCCCTCCCCAGGCTATGATCAGCATGAAATGTGACAGTCCTACACCGTGCACTTTGCTCCCACCTGCCCTGCCCTGTGTGCGTTGGACCCTCACAGCACTCACCTGATGTTCCCTCCCTGGTGTCCAAAGTTGTCTGGGAGGCCTCCTGAGTGTGGGCATCTGGCTCCTGGGTCAGGGTCGCTGTGCTCCTGGTAGTGTCATCTTCCTCCTCTTGGAGCTGCTGGTCCTCTACTGGGCTCTCACCCTGGAGTTATGGCCGCTGCTGCACAGGGGTCTCCAAGCCAGACTCCACAACCCTCTTGGGAAGCAGGGGTTCCCCTGTACCCTGGATCTGGTCCAGGTCCTCGTAGTAGGCACAATAGTGTGCCATTTTCCCAGAGCAGGAGCTGTGCTCACTGGCCCTGACGTACCCCTTCCTTAGCTCCTTGACCTTGGCTGTGACCTGGGCTACGGTGCGGGGGTGGTGGCCTTTCCTTGCCATGCCATCAGCCAATCTGACGTAGATGTCCACATTCCTCTGCCTGAACTGTGGGGCCTGAAGGCCTATGCTTATCAGGTAGTTGACTAATCAATTAGTCGGTTAAATCCCTACTCACTTCTTTCCATCAGTTTTCATGGCTGAGGACTTGAGGGAGATTCCCAATTCTGACCTATTCTTTGTAGGCAACAAATCTGAGGAACTGTCCCAAATCGAGGTGTCATTAAATAAAGAAGGTTTTGGAGCAAACTGATAAACCAAACAATAATAAGTCTCCAGGAATAAATTCAGAACTCTTGAGTGAATGCAAAGAACTCAAATGTGAAATTGAGACACTAATAACTGTGGTTTGTAACCTATCCTTTAAATCATCTAGGCTGTGTCTAAACTGGCAATCGGGGCTTTTTTGCGGAAAACCACGTCTAGATTGGCCACGGACGCTTTTCCGCAAAATGTGCTTTTGTGGAAAAGCATCCTGCCAATCTAGACGTGCTTTTCCGAAAATGCTTTTAATGGAAAACGTTTCCGTTAAAAGCATTTTCGGAAAATCATGCCAGTGTAGACGTAGCCCTTCTGTACCAAGTGACTGGAAGATAGCTAACGTAACACCATTTTTCAAAAAGGTCTCTGGAGGTGAACCTGGCAATTAAAGGCCAATAAGTCTAACTTCAGTAATGGGCAAACTGGTTGAAACTATAGTTAAGAACAGAAATGTCAGACACACAGATGAGTAGGGGGGAAGTCAACATAGTTTCTATAAAGGGAAATCGTGCCTCGCCAATCTACTAAGATTCTTTGAAGGGGTCAACAAGCATATAGACAAGGGAGATCCATCCAGTGGACATAGTTTACTTAGATTTCCAGAAAGCTGTTGACAAGGTCCCTCAGCAAAGGCTCTGAAGCAAAGTAAGCTGTCATGGGATAAGAGGGGAGGTCCACTCGTGGACTGATAACTCGCAAAAAGATAGGAAACAAAGGGTAGGAATAAATGGTAGGTTTTCAGAATGGAAAGAGGTAACTAGTGGTATCTTCAAGGGGTCTGTACTGGGAGCAGTCCTTCTTGCCAGAGGATGATGTGAAGACCAGGACTTTAACAAGATTAAAAAAGAACTAATAAATTCATGGAGGATAGGTCCATCAATGGCTATTAGCCAGTATAGTCATGGATGGTGTGGCTAGCCTCTGTTTGTCAGAAACTGGGAATGGGCAACAAGGGATGGATCTTTTGGTAATTACCTGTTCTGTTAATTCCTTCTGGGGCATCTGTCATTGGCCACTGTCAGAAAACAGGATACTGGGCTAAATGGACCTTGGTCTGACCCAGTATGGCCATTCTTATGTTCAGTTAAGACTGCAGGGTGTGGATGCTTAGTTTAGTCCTGTAGTCTCCCATCCTCCGCTGAATGCCATTCTGAGATGAGCCAGCAGTGTGCATTGGCATTGGTATGTCTAGAAGAGGTCACCCCTTCTCTATATACCACACTGTTCAAAGGAGTGCCTGACCCTCCTATTCCCAGTGCCTCCTGTGACCACTTCTCTTGAACTCTGATGCCAGTCCAGATTGAATGCTGCCACTTGAGAATTCTGTCAGGTTAAAACTGGGCTTTGATTCCATTTCAGATGGGAAGGTACTTCTCTAATACACAGTATTATATTCCATCTCAGCTGCTTTTTTATTTCAACTTTACCTCTGGGTCCACTTGACACTAAAGAAGCTGCTGTCATCTTCCTTTCTGTCCTTGACTGGAGAAATGTGACTTTGTTGATGAGTAAATCCTCTGGGGGGAAAGAAGTGAAAAAGCATCTGAAGTAGTTCAGACTGGAGTCTAGCAGTGAGGTACATTAGCAGTCATGTGAAACCTACAGTGTTGTAGCAAACATTGTTACACTAGGATACTAGGTCCTTAAACTGATCCCAGATTATACCAAGCCGGTTTGAAAAGTCTGAACTGACCCTGATTGCATCCACTAAAAGTTCTCTTGCATTTATCAAGTACCATTTCAAACAGTACTGTATTAATCCATCACTAGAGAACTTTTAGTGAACGTCAGCAGGATCTACACAAGTCTATTGATGTGCAACATACTGATACACATTACAATTAACACCACTCCACTGCAGACTAATGCATTGTTTAGACAAGCCCTAAGTCTCTAAACATTTGTGTCTCCTCAGCAGGGTCATTTGCCAGATCTATTTTGGCATGAGAAATGTTAAACACAACGTTTCAATATTTTGCAACACAGAGAAATGCAACATTCTAATTTAGAGCCTGATTGTAAAAGGACTGCAGTGTCTGGGCACTTGGAGTGCCAACTCATTGCCTTTCAGTTCTCTAAAGTACTATTTATAACCTTTAGTACTACAGAAATAATCTCAACCTGCTTTTACAAACATTGCATGAATTAAGCTGAGGTAGGTATTATTAAGGTTAAGTGACTTGCCCAAGGTCACGTGGTGAGTCAGTGGCATAGTCAAAACAGATTTCAGAACTCCTAATTTGAAACTTGGGCCTCAGCTACCAGGCCATGCTGTCTCAGTAGACAATGAGCAACTCTTATGGCCATGTCTACAGTAAGCGATAAGGTCATATTCATTAAGGTTGATTTTTAGCACTCAATATTGTAAAGTCAAAAGGTTCATGTTTCCACTGTGAGCAAGAATTTGAGGCAGTTTGAAGTAGCAACTATCAACTTTAAGAGCAAGCAGTGTGGGTAGCTATCCCAGAGTTCCTGCACCTCTTTGAATTCTGGGTTATGCTTCCAGTGCATACTAGGACCAAAACCATGCAGCGGGTGGTTTGGGGTTCATGTCATCAACATCCCACAATGCACTTGTCTCCTCCCTTCCCCTCTGCTTGAAAGCAATGGCAAACAGTCTCTTCATGACCTTTTTTCCCTTGGTTATCTGTGCAGATGCCACAGAAATGGAAGTACAGAACATGTCATGGATTCTGTTGAGCATCAAACCATTATGGCAATCATATTAAGACTCTCTAGAGCCGTGGTCACCAACCAGTAGATCGCAATCTACCGGTTGGACTCGGAGGCTCTAAGAGTAGCTCTTGAGCCCTCTCTGAACTGTGCGCCTGCGCAGTACATTTACATTAGATTTCCTCATTTGAGGAGCAGCTACTCACCGAGCAACAGCACAGGTGAGTAGCTGTGAGGAATGGTGGGAATTATTTTTTTTAAGTAGCAGTATAAGGATTGGGGATAGCAAGTGATGGAGAGGAGAATAGAGAGGGCGGGGCTTCAAAGAAGGGGCGGGGCGGTAGATCTTGGCTTGGTCTGTCATTTAAAAAGTGATCTTGGGTGTAAAAAGCTTGGAGACCACTGCTCTAGAGGCCATGAGCACTTTTCCAAAGCACCTGAGTTGAGCGACTGGCAAATACCATTGGCATTTGATACTCTAGACAAAATGGAATGCCAGTTTTGGTGCCATCAGACAAGCACAGACTTGTGGAACCGCATAGTTATGCGAGTCTGGGACAATCAGCAGTGTCTGCAAAACTTGTGCATGCGTAGGGCTACTTTCATGGAACTTTGGAAATGGCTTTCTCCCACCCTGAAGTGCAGGGACACATAAATGGGATCCGCTCTGGCAGTGAAGAAGTGTGTGGCAATTGCCCTGTGGAAACTTGTAATGCCACACGGATACTAGTCAGTTGGAAATCAATTCAGAGTGGGGAAATCTACAGTGGAGGCTGTTGTGATCCAAGTAGCCAAGGCAATCAATACCCTTTTGCTAGGGAGAGTAGTGACTCTGGGAAACGGAGGACACAGTGGAGGGCTTTGCCGTGATAGGATTCCCTGACTGGTGGGGTAATAGAAGGAACACACATCCCTATTTTGGCATGTGACCACCTCATCAAAGAGTACATGAACTGCCAGGGGTACGTCTCGATGGTGCTGAAGGCTCTGATGGAGCACAAGAGCCGTTCCACTGACATCAACATGGGATGGCTGGGAAAAGTGCATGATGTGCGCATCTTTAGGAACTCCTGCCTTTTCAGAAAGCTGCAAGCTGTAACTTTCTTCCCAGACTGGAAAATTACCATCAGAGGCATTGAAATGCCAACAGTGATCCTTGGTAACCTAGACTACCCCTTGCTCCTGTGTTGCATGAAGCTGTACACAGGCAGGCTGGACCGCAGTAAGAAGCGGTTCAACTACAGGCTGAACAAGTGCAGAACGGTGGCAGAATGTGCTTTTGAGCATTTAAAGGGAAGGTTCCACAGTCTACTAATAAGGTCATACCTCAGCAAATGTAACATTTCCATTGTGGTGGCAGCCTTCTGTGTGCACCATAATATTTGGGAGAGTAATTTGAAAAGTTATAGGGGAGGGTTGCGGGGTGGGGGAGGTCTGAGGCAGAGCACCTAGTCATGGATTTTGAGCAGCCAGACGCCAGAGCAATAAGGAGAGCACAGCAAGGGCCACTGCATATCAAAGAGGCTTTGACAGACCAGATTTGAATGGCCAGATTTGAGAGTCCTGTATGTTACTCTCGATGATGTGGCCCTGCCTTCAGTGTGCCTGCCTGTAAGCTTCCTCCCCACCCCTTTCAAAACAAGCCACAGAGAGATGGCTGTTCAGAAATCATGCATTTTTATTTAGGGAACACAGCAGGGACAGAAAAGGAGTTCATGGCAGGAGCTTGGGGGAAATGATCATAATTGTGATGAGGACAGCCCCTTGCTTTAGGACACATCACTGGGGGTTGAGTTTGAGGCTGTCCTTGATGTTACCCTCCCCCCGTGTTCTAGGGCCCCTGTGAGAAAAAGCTATGGAACCCGGTGAGGAGGGAATGTGGTTCCGCAAAGCTTGGAGGGGGTAGCTGTCCTGGAAGGCCACCATATGATTCATCACATCCGCCATGATCTTCAAGACTCTCCCCTGGCTCTTTACTTCCAGCTCGCTGCATGCTCTCCTGTTTTCATGCTCCACTCATCTCCAACAGCAGCGTATTCCTACACTTGCTGAAGTGCTCCCTGTTCAAGTGGGTGGATTGCATTTGCTCATTAAACATGTTATCCCTATAAATTACAAAAAGAAAACCAACAAATGGTCTGGTAGCACTTTGTAGACATGTAGATGGTATCATGAGCTTTCGTGGGCACAGCCCACTTCTTCAGATGACCGGTCATCGGAAGAAATGGGCTGTGCCCAGGAAGCTCATGATACCATCTATGTTTTGTCAGTCTGTATAGGATAAATTACAAAAAACCCAAATGGTCTGGTAGCACTTTATAGACTAACTCAGCTACCCTCTGAAGCTTCTGAACATGTTATCCCTAGTATGTTTTCCTCTGTGGATTTGTGCCAGCTGGGTAGCTGGCAGAGTTGGAGGAGTATGTAGTATGCTTGCTGCTATTCCCACCGTAATGAAAAGTAAAGGGCAGACTTAAGGTTTTACACTCTACAATGTATCTCCTGTAATCTGTTAGCAAAAAAGGAAGGTCTGGATAGAGACAATAGGCATGTATTATGTACAAGACCAATTCGTTATTCTTTTAAGCAGACACTATGCAGCACTATGCACCTCAGAGTTCTTAGTGGAGCAGCTGGACTCTGTTTGGCAGCAGGTATGGTAAGAGACAGGCCGTGGCATGAGCTGCGGGAGTGGAGGGGCTGAATGTGGTAGTGGAGCACAGCAGGGCTCATTAGTCCAGCACCCCATTTGCCAAGAATGCAACTTTCCCTTCCTGCAGGACCATGGAGACAGGAGGGGGAAGCGACTCTGGAAGCCACAATTCCTTCAAGAATAGCAAATGGAGGTTTACTGCAGAGGCATCAGCTAAAAGCTTCCCCTGCTTCTTGCAGGTTGAGATATCAGTTGTCTTCGAATCACACAGAGTAACAGGGAGCTGATGCTGACTGAATGTGGCCAGAAACCTGGGCCTTATTCTGCAATGACACTTACTGCTGGCTTGGATTGCATGCAGCTGCTCATAGAAGTGTCATATTTACGGCGATGCTCCAGACCATCCATTTGCCTCTTTTGTCTTCTGGTATGACTACCTCAGCTCCTGTATTTTTATGTGGCACTGCTGGGTGTCCCTGGTGTATCCCTTTTCCTTCATGCCTTTTACAGTCTTGGCACAGATGTCCGTGTTTCTTTTGCTGGTTCTTAGTTCTGCAAGAACAGATTCCTCTCCCCACACAACAATGGAGATCCAGGATCTCCTGCATGCTCCACTGCTGTGGCCATTTGCAACAGTGGGAATTCATGGTCAGGTGTGCTGCCTGACACTGGAAATGAAATTCAAATTTTCCCAGAGCTTTTTCTGTGTACCTGAAGAGCAGCAGAATTGAAAGTCCTGGCCAGAACAGTCACTTCTTAGCTTCCGGGAGGTGTCCCACACTTTCACAGCCCTGAGTCTGCACTACTGTAAAGTCAACCATGCAATTTAGCGTTACTCCTTGTGAAAAACAGGAGTACCAAAATAGACTTTAACAGCCCTTAAAGCCAACAGAAGAGGCTTGGCGGTGTTGACTTATTGTTTAGAAATTTGACTTAATGTGGCTAAGTTCAACCTAAACTCCCAGTGTAGACAAAGCCTAAGAGGGACTGTCGTAATAGTTTTGGGGAGACTATAAGGAGACATGGCATTTAAGTTATTGCTTTGTGGAACTAAGGGACTATTCATTCTTTGTGATAAATTCTCCAGTATTTTGTTATCAAAGCAATGAAACTGCAATAAAAATCTACTGCTACCAACCTGTCCCATCCTCCATTACTGCGCTGCTTATAGCATTGAGGTGGCTGCAAACATGTCCTGAGATGAGATTCCATATGAGAATTTCACCATCGTAACTAGAAGAGGCCACGAGATTTGGAGGGCAGAAGGACACACATAACACATCATCTTTGTGACCATTTTCCTAGATCATTTGGGCGACAAAACCATTTTTTTTAAATAGTTGTGAAAACTTCACCTCAAAAGTTAGATACGTTACAAGTCTTCCTAAAGAAATGAATGAAACAAAAACAAAACCCATGCTCTAAGAGAAAGTACAGGTAAATAAAAGCAACGTTACAAAAGGAATATCAGTAAGTACTCAATTACACTCTGTGTTCTGAAAGAGATATGGAAGAACTTTCTTACCGCTCTGTCAATCCAATCCATTTGTGGGCATGGCCCTTCAGATGTTTCACTGTGAAGATCCTATGAATAAAGAAAATATGTATTTATCCTCTAGGTATAAATATGTATTTATCCTCCATAAAGTCTTTTTTTTTTTAATTTAAACAAGACTGAAGATATTGTCCTAAGGAGGTACATGGCAGCACCCTGCTGGCTTGAAGTGGTTTTCATCATACACAAGGTTTACAGTCCTGTTCAATGGCTTTCAGCACCCACATTATAAAAATTGTTCCAATGCCACTAGAAGCATGCCATAATGTACAAGAGCAAACTATGAATATCAAAGCCAAATGAGAAGCACTAATAATGCATTAGTGTATTTTCCTGGCTGTGGGAAACGGTGATACAACAGGAGTGGGAAGGCAATATGGTCTAGTAGACAGGGAGTCGGGGAAGGGGCTGGGGGACTCAATGCAGAAATGTGGGGGGTGCAGGAGATTGGGTGTGGAGGAGCTCAGGGCAGGAGGGCTCTCTGGGGCTGGGTTCCCTTCCTGGCTCAGCCACTGTGTCCCCCTGAGAAAGTCACTTCTTAATAATTTGGGGATGTAAGCGACTGGTTGACTTATCGCTTACTCGAGTTGACTACTCACATTTCCCCCCCTTTGCTGCCTCTGTATCAGAGGCAGCGAGGTGGGGGTAGAGGGAAGCAGGAGCTAACGCTGGGGAAGATGGCTTAAAGCCAGTCCCCCGTCCGGCACTGTCTCCGCAGTGCTGCATGTCCTCCCCTACCCCTGTGCTGGTTGTGAAAACACGCTGCCCCGTTGGGACCCTCTGCAGACAGGGGCTGCTGGACCCGATGCAAGCTGGGACCTACTCCCACTACGACTCTGCAGTTTAAATGGAGAAGGAGCCTGGCTGCCTGCACGCCTGGCTCTTACTACAATTAAGCTGCAGAGCCGCAACTGGGGCAGCTCCTGGACCCAGTGCGAGCCAGGACAGAGTGCCTTCCCTCACTGACTCAGTGTGTATTCGATACAAATTGTATTGACTATGTGATTAGCCAATTACCCGCCTCTTAACATCCTTACGATTATTTTTACACACAGCTCAGTGGAGCCACAACCTCAGTTCGCGCTTTAACATGCTACTGTAGAAGAAATCTACGATCTATTTGAGTGTGTCTGTGTGTGTCTGCATGAGTATGCTTGCTTAAGAACTCCTCCTAAATGGTAAGAGCTAGGAACACCATATTTGGTATGCAGCTTCCTCTTATAACTTAAGGCAAGATCAGGGTTTGGCTGGGCCAGGAAAATGGGATTCACCTGGAATACAATTGTCTCATAAAACACAAAAGGAGGGGGTCTGTTAGAAGAGACAATTATACTGCAGAATGACCATGGGGTGCGAGGGGAGGGGAGCAGGCGCACCAGTAAGAAGGGTCAGCGGGGTGTCGGGCTCTGGATGTTGCCATCCATGGGTAAAGTCCCCTGCAGACTGGCATGGCCTCTGCCACCCCACATAGCTCCTGTCACCCCAGGGAGCTGCCACTGGCTGGGCTGCACAGCCCCCCCACTGCCTAAAAGAGCCCCCTGTTTCTCCCCACACCCAACATCCTGCATCTTAGACATTTCTGCCCTGAGCTCCCCACATCCTCCTCTCACTCCCTGCCCTAAACACCCCCCACACCCAACCTCTTACCTTGACTCATGCCCCCATCCCCTACCCTGAACCCCTCCTTATCCCTAACCTTGAGTTCAGCACACACACACCCGTCTCCCACCCTGAGTCCCCCACATCCTAAAAGCCCAGCTCTGAGCCCCTCTGTACAGACCTGAGCAACCCCAGGGCAGTGTGCTGGCTTATAAATCTTAGAGCAATTTATTACTGAAAAGCAATTCAGAATGGCATCATAGGGATCTAAATTCCTCTCATAATGATTCCAAGTCAATTTAGGTCAACTTAAAAGATAAGACACTCTTTACTTACAGGGAAAATATTGATCTTCCTGTTCCAACCAACAGAAATGATGTACCTTTTCAAAAAAACAAAAACAAAACCCCAACATTATTTAGCATGTGTTAAAGGAAGAAATAAAACAGTGTTTGACTTGAATTTATGGATGGCTATTAGTACACAGGTTCTAAACTGCTTTCCCTTTTATAGCTGCGAGGGAGGAAGGAGAAAGACTTCTGAACGTTTTTGGCATTGTAACACTGATTGTCAACATTTTGCATACGATAGGCCTATCATCTAGGCCAACCTTAAGCTTATTTAAAAATAAGTCTCCTTTTTGAACCAAGTAGAGCTTAGAACAAGGTGCAACACTTGCTCCCCTTATAAATTTCAAATAGCCTTATGAATCTTGGCACAAAAAGAGTTAGTCGTGCTTACAAAAGGTTTGTGTGTCAAATATAAACACTTGTATAAGCAACATCATACAAGTAATGGTGCTATGGGACACATGACTTCTTACTTGTCTATAGAAGAAAAGAATGAGGGAAGATTTCTTAAATGACCTGAAAGGGGGGTGGTTGTTTCCAAAGATTCTCAGTGGTGGCAGATGACAGATCAAGGAGCAATGATCTCAAGTTGCAGAAGGGGTGTGCATGTCTATGCAGGATATTAGAAAAAATTATTCATTAGGAAGGTGGTGAAGCACTGGAATGGGTTGGCTAGAGAGATGGGGGAATCTTAAGATTTTAATGCCTAGCTTGACAAAGAGCTGGCTGGGATGATTTAGTTGTGATGGGTCCTGCTTTGAGAAGGGGGCAGGGGGACTAGATGACATCCCGAGGTCTCGTCCAACCCTAATCTTCTATGAGTCTATTCTGGATGCTGGCACGCATTAGGCATGCTGTGAGACACGAGGCAGAAGGCCACATGCTTCACTTGCCTGGGAAGTTCAGACAGCTAGTAAGATTGTGCTTTTGGCATGCTGTAGTTTGTGATTTTAATTATTCATTTGTAACAACTGGCTAATGAGTATGGGCACAGTCACATTTCATCCCATACTCATTAGCCAGTTGTTACAAATGAATAACAATGTCTATGAAAAACCCACCAGAAAACAACTTATTTCCACAAGGAGCATGAAACAATTGATTTCCCCGGCATCCCGCTGCAGTTGTACCTGTTGCTGTAAATATCAGCATATGTGCAGGCGGTGACTTCATCACTCGAAGTGGCTGCTAAAAAGGGGAGCAAATCAGAACACAGCTCTTCATATTGTTCCATAGAAAATATCTAACAAGCAGAGAAGCTGGCGGTTACGCCACTACCTTGCTTAAGGGTGTGTATAGAACGCATGGTGCTACAATCCCACGTTTTCAGGCTTCCATCTCTGCCTCCAGTGATCAATCTAGGGACAAAAGATTTCACAGTAACTGTTACTGCTCAGATGAGAAGATACAAAAAAAAAGTGCTTCCAAAAATATGGGGCAGTGTTTTGTATGAAGTGCCTCCGAAATCTACACTCAGAGGTGTGACTGCAGCACTGGCAGACATATCAGAGCAAGCTTTGATGTAGTGTGCTTGAATAAGAATACTAGTGAAGCCATAGCAGCACAGGCTGTAGAACCTCATTCAGGATCTTGACCGTATACTCAAACAGAGAGCCTATTACTCCTGAGGGAATTCTGCACCAACAGCGTACAAGTTCTGCAAAAAGAAAAACTCTGTGTAGAAAGCTTTAAAAATCTGTGTCCTGGGAAATTTTGCAATCAGTAGTGAGGCTATACATAACCATGAAACACCACAAAGTCTGGGCCTTCCCCCAAAGCCAGAGGTGCACAGGCTGGCTCGGACCCAAGTGTAGAGGGGCTTAGTTGGGAGGGGGGAAATCCAGGTATGGGATGAGAGAGTTTTGTGTGGGGCAATCTAGGTGCAGGCAGCTGAGTCAGGACCAAGGATGCTGGAACAACTAGGGTGCTGAGAGCTCTTGAACCTAACTGCAAGCCCAGGCTTATCGGTTAACCATTTAAAAGGTTATGCTGCAGGTTGAACCTCCGAAATACAGGACTCTCTAGTCCAGCAATATCCATGGTCTGACAGGGTTTCACAGGATGCACTCTGTATTGCCCATGTATCAGCAGATTGCGAGAATAATTATTTAAGATGAAATTGCTCTTTCAGTTCTGGGTCTGGAACTCCACTGAAGAGAAATAATAGTGGAGGGCAAACATTAAGTACAGCAAAGTTTGGTCCACTGCAGATAGGAAAAGGAGTAACTCTGGAATGATGAAACAGGAGGACAGGAAAGACAACAAACTCCACGGTTTATGTTACAGTAGTAGCTTTATCAACTGTGTGCTTCCCAAAAGTGGGGGACATCTGTATATACCTCTTGCCACTGGTGTCTAAGGCCATACAGATCACAGCAGCATCTCCATGAGCTCCATAGACTTCAGTAACCAGTTGCCCATTCTGAAGATCCCACACTTTCATAGCCTGAAAGGAAACAGAAACAAAAAGCAATGGATGATCTAACACTGAAGACATGTTGGCATTTCTTATGGTACTCACACTTTAAAAAAAATTGGTAAACACAGAATCAATAGGAAAAAAAAGAGTACTACTGACAAATTACGACTGAAATATCTGAAGCATATCTGAATGGGCTAAGTGGTCTTTTATTCACGGGGGCAGCAGCAACTAGAGGTGAAGGCAGCAAGATCAAACCCTTACTAGGGGGAAGGGCTCAGCAAGCATCATTTCTTTATGAACAGTCTCAGCAAAGTAGTTAAACACTGAACAGATCCCCTCTCACTCAGTGAGGGTTCCCCCTCTAACAGGGTTAGGGCACATGGGCTAGGCAACAAAGGCAAGCATGAAATGTGAGTGTGTAGGTGCTCAACAAAACTTCCATTGTACCTATTGACTTAAGAGTTTGGTTCAGAGCATGGATAAAAAGAGAGAGTTAAGTTAACAAGGTAAGTATTTAAAATTCCAAAGAAATGAATATCCCCCATGCATCTCAACAGGAGTTTAATAAGCCCATTGGGTATAAAAAGTACTCCGTATTGACTGAGCCTTTGGTAGCAGGAAGTTTAATACTAACACATGCTCAATAAGATCCCATAGTACTGAAGCAGGCAAAACTCTTAAGCTTAATGAATGTTTTGCCCATTTAAGGATTGCCTGATTGGAGTCTAAGTGACTAAATTATTAACAATTCTTTGCTTTTAACTAAGTAAAAGTTAATTGTCTTGTAGACTGATATTATAATTCACATACTATTCAAAAATGGCAATACTGAAATATGTATAATATTGTATACACTAGCCAATTAGCCCGCCATAAGACAGGATTTTCAGGTCTCTCCTCCACATCCTATTTCCTTTCTATCTCGGTCTTTTCTCCTGAGCCTCTGGTCTCTCGCTCCGTCTCTCTCCTTTTCCTACTGAATCCCCCCCGCTCTGTCTCAGCTCTCCTCTGCCTCCTGCCTCTTTCTTCATCTCTCTCTCTCTCTCTTCTCCCCCTCCCACTCTGTTTCTCTTCTCCTCCTCCTCCTGCATCTCTCTCTCTGCATGGGGACTGCGGAGCCCAAATGGCCATTTGCGCTGCTTGCTCCCACAGGGTGGCTCGGCTGAGGGGCGCAGAAGTCAGCTGAGAGCCACAGTAGGAGGCAAAGGATGTTACAGAGGCAACAGCACCGCTCAGAGGCAACAGAAAACGTTACAGAGTTAGAGTCTCAGTGTTACGGAGTTACTGAGCCACAGACATTGGGCTTTTATACATATGAGGATAATATACGCCGCTCAGAGGCAACAGCGCTGCCCAGAGGCAACAGAAAATGTTACAGCATTACAGTCACAGACATTGGGCTACTATATATATATATATATGATGACATTTTAGTGGAACTTCATTTTGAAAGCTTAATTCTCAAATTAAGCTTCACAAGATGAACTCCCTATGCCCGCTTCGCTTTCATCCTAGCTTTCATGGTGTGTCCTTGATACTTACAGATCCTTCCGAGCAACTAACCACCTGCCGGAATGGCTTATTATATTGGCAGCAGAGGATTGCCTCATTATGGGATACACAAGAATTACTTATCCGGTCTTCCCTGAAAAAGGGAAATAAAATAGAAAAGTCAGACGAATCGAAGTACGTGCGCACATGCTTGCTGAGTGCTTATGAGGGATTTACAAATGATGGGCCAACACCTGCTAAATCTTAACCCCTCCTCCTCCAAATATTTTTAAAGTCATTTCGTAAGTCAAGAACGGATTTGGCACTCATGAACAGTGGAAGGCAGAGGAGAGCTTTACTGTATCTCTCTGTGTGTCATGGTGGCATAACTGATTTTACCAGTTTTCAAGTATTTAGATTCATGGGTTTTAATATCAGAAGGGATGATCTACCTCTTATGTAACAGATCATAGAATTCACCCAGTAATTTCTGAAAACAAATAAATAACTGCTGTTTGGCCTAGAATAAATTCTTGGGAAAGCGATCCAGCCTATATTTAAAGATTTCAAGTACAGGTTGGACCTCTCTGGTCTGGCACCCTCGGGACCTGAGTGGTTCTGGATGAGGGAATTTGCCAGACCAGGGAAGGGCCCCTGCCACCGGCCCCCTCAGCAAGATGCTTCTCCTCACCGCTGGCTCCTTTGGCCCCACTGCTGGCCAGGCAACACGCCTACCCCAGCCTTGTGCCAGAGCTGCTGCCCCAGCCCCAGTGGTGGCACAGCAGCACGCAGCCCTGGCCTCGCTGCCACAGCACCAGCCCTGCTGCTGGGCAGTATGTGGCCTGACTGAGCTGCCTTGGTCCAAAGCTGGGTTGCTGCCGCAGCACCAGCCCCGTTGCCAGCCGACATATAGTCCCGATTGGGCTGCCGGCCTGCCCCGGGCCCTCTGAATTGCTGTGGTCCCAGCTCCACTGCCATGGCCCCTGATGGGTTTTCTCTGCTGGGCTGTTGTGACCCGGCCTTACTGCCAGCCAGGTTGTCCCTCTCTGGCTCTGCCCCTGCTGCCGGGCTGGCACGCAGCCCTGATCAGACTACCATGGCATAGCCCTGCTACTGGAATGCCATGCACGGGCTGCCCCATCCCCACCTGGGTTGCCAGGCTGCCCCTGCCCCCTACCATGGCCCCGCTACCACTACCAGGCTGCTGACACCCTGGCCCGGCTACCACTAGACTCACCTACATTTTTTGTTTGTAGGTGCATGACCTTGTATTGGGCTGCATTAGAATGCATGAGGTTCAAATGATCCCATCTTACCAAGGGATCTAAATAGGTCAGTTAAGACCTATCCCAATAATTATTTTCATCTTAAAGACTCCATGGAAGCACTCTTTTCTACTTTAAAAAAATTACTGAGTGGCAAAACATTGCTCAACCAAGACTTACGTGGCACACAGGCCCTTGTGCTTGCTCTCTGCTACCCCGGCCTAAATGATGATGTCAGAATACTGCCTGCCTCTGTATTTTTTATCATAATACAAGCATATGGCACTATAAATGAACATCACCCATTGCAGTATATTCTGGTGCTGTGAAAAAGAATATGGCCAGCAGAAGAGCTCACCAGTTACAGCTACAGTATGACGCCATTAATATCGCCTCCGGTAGCAAAAGGAATTAATTTAAAAAGTGCATGCAATTTAAAGTCTCCCTAAAGTTAATCTCTAATGGCCTGATGGGCTGAGCACCCACTATTCCAGGCAAAGTCAATGGAAGCTGTTCCAGCATGTAGCGGTTTCTCCTGCATACAAAAGTTCAGAGATTCAGTAAACACTGCAAGACCATTCTGATTTTCTAATGAAAATCAAGAACCATGCCAATAATGTAGAAGGAGCTGCCGCATGTAGGAGAACAACTGCAGCATGAGTCTGCTCCCGTCCTCTCAGCTCATCCTTGCAGCATGTTAGTGTGATAGGCTATTCTATAGCACAGAGGCAGCTCTTCCTATATTCTCTGGCACATAATGGTCCAAAGTCAAGGAACTGCCATACTGGATCAGACCCCAAGGCCCATATTGTCCAGAATCCTGTTTCAGACAGTGGCAAGCACCAGATGCTTCAGAAGAAGGTGCAAGATACTCTCAGTAAGTGGATGTGTGATAGTCTGTCATCCATGAAGGCATCATCCTAAATCCTACTAGTAAGAGACTGACGTAAGCCCTGCAGCATGAGGTTTTATAGCCTTTCCTAAACCTTTTAGCAACAATTATAACAACTCTGGGTATTCTTGTTATCTAAATACACATTAATCCCTTTTTGAATCTTGACACATTTTTGGCAATGAGCTCCACAATCTAATTATGCCGTGTATGAAAGAGAGTTTCTTTTTATCAATGTTAAATTTGCCACTTTTCAATGTCACTGAATTCCTATGATGGCAGGGTGGTAACCTACTTCTTTTGGAAGTGTAGGAGAACAAGGCAATCTGCTGCAAGGTAGAGAGCTCTCAGCTCATTTGAGAAGTAACAAACTGCCATCTCTCCTCTGATCTGACTGGCCTTGGGAATCACGCTGAGGAGGCAAGACTGGTCTTCAATGTCCCACACCTTTCAGAGACAGGAAGAGAGGGGTTAGTATTCCTATCTTAGCCACTTCTAGGTCTACATGAAAAACCAAACTCCCGTGTGCAATGATCAGTTAGACGTAAATATAAAAATCATGCGAATTTCGAGTTACACCAGTAAGAATCTCATTAACTGCATCGGTGTGGTGACAGCACACCCTTACTGCAGACATGCAACTTTCACCAATGTATCGTGAGATGATAACGTATTAACATAAGCCCTGTTCTACACAAGTGCCATGGCTACACTGGGCGCTGCCCCACTAAAGCTGTATGGACGTAGCTTAGAATTTCCTAACTAGACAGGTAGGGGGGCTGACAGAACTGATGGGCCCCTGGGTGAGGGCAGAGGAGGAGGAGGAGACAGGACTCTTGGAAGGGATAGGGTCTTGTGTGGAAGGGGCAGAGCTAGGGCAGCCAGCTCTCAGCACCGCTTGGGGCTCTGGAGCATGCTTTGGACTCCAGTGGCAAATTAAAGGGCTCTGGCAGCAGTGGAGGCTGGGAGCCCAGGCCCTTTTGAATCGCCAGGCCCCAAAGCAACTACCCTCTTTGCCCCAGGGGTTGGCAGGCCTGAATGGGGACATTAGGGTGACAGAAGTGAAGGTTCATTGGGCATGGGGGAGAGGAACTGATTAGATGGTTCTGAGTAGTGATAATGAGCTATGAAGACTCTCACCTCTGTGTTGCTGGTTCACAACTAAGCTAGCTTGGAAGTGACAGATAGTTATTACCATCTAGAGGCTGTTTAGCAGACAGTGTGCAGAGAAGTAGGAAATAACATTTTTTCATTCTTTTACAGAAATGTCACAAACTAGCTAGCCCTTTAAAGATTCAGCTTTGCTTGTGACTAGCTGCTTGCCTCTAGCTGATGGCACTAGTTATTAAGTGGCCAAAGCAGCTGTGAAGGAGTTGGAAGAAGACTGCAAGCAGAGAGGTGAATTCAGGGGGAAACAAGGCTGCTGCGGAGATAGGAAAATGCATTGGGAAGCGGGTCAGGATCCTCTGGACAGGCACCCTGATATAGGGATCTCCAGGTTCCTTGTAAGTGCTAGGGGAAGCTGACAAAATCCGTGGGGGAGGGAGGCAGTGAGGGAACGATTGCCAAGAAAAGAACTAACAAAAGAAGAATTCTGCAGGAGCAAGTTAGGCCTTGATGTAGGGTAAGTAACAGCATTTTAATAGCACCTGAGAGGGGTGAAATATGTATTAGTTCATCAGAGAAGCAAGAAGCCAGAGGCCTGAGTACCAAAGGGAGGCAGTGTTAAGTAATGGCTGTAGGGAAGCAGCAAAAAGAGGGTGAGAAGTAGGAAGCAGCAGCATGTCTGAAGAAGCAGATTCAGTTGCTTAATACAGCTAGAACCCAGAGTAGAGAAAGGGGCTGAGTTTCCCCTACCAGCTTCTAAGGAAGAGGGATGCAACCTTAACTGCAGGAGTATATTAGGCTCCTGTGGAAGAGGCCCTGAAAGAATACGTCAATGCAACCCCAGGAGCCAAAGAATTATTTGGATGTTTAGCTTAAACCTTCAGTAAGACCCTTTGTTACCCCCAAAGGACACGGAATGTTGTGACTTGGCCAGTGGACTAGACCACCGAAGACTTGGTCAGAGGCAGACTGTCAGCCGATGCTACAAGTGAGGGTCCTTTGCAGTATCGCACCCTGAACCAAGGGTGATGAGTACACTACCTTAAAAAATAAAACTTCTCAAATGCTCGCAGTCTGTGAGGACTGGAAGAGAGGGATATGAATATATCAAGTGAAAACATCAGCCTTGAATAGTAGCGCTAACATTCTCTCTCAGTTTCTACTGCATAATTCCAGAGAATTCAAGAGCAGAATTGGGGCATACTCTGTATAATCAAAACCACGTGAGGCAGACAATTGCAATTCAACCATCAAACCAAGGAATAAGACTAAAAAAAAAAAAACATACTAAGGTGGAAGGAACCCAGGTACTGGGTAATCTAGAACCAATACAGGACATTATACTGCAGATATTTTTCCTCTCACCAGCTGAGCACCTTCCTATATTAAGTATTTAGGGTTCAATGTTAAAAGGTGTTGAAGAGTCTTCAACTACTACTTAACCAGGGTGATGATAGGTGAGGAACAAACATCACTGATTTGGTTGACTTAGTGTAGCTTCTCCACACACACATCATTTGAGAAATTATGTCTACATTAAGATGAGGTATGATATGGAGCAGTAAAGTGATGCTAAGTGAGCCCTTAGAGTAATTAACTAACAATTGCAAATATTTTAAACTAGTCATTTTAACATGTAGGTGGTGTCATTGTTTCTACATTTCTACATTCTACATCGTATCCACATTTCTATTTCAGGACATAAAGTTGGATTTCTTTGACCTCAAAGCATCACTGCAACATTGGAATAAACCAAAATCTAAATAAGTGAAATGTAAAAGTATTCACTATAAATGTCCCCAACATCATCATCTTGTACATTATTATGAACTGAGAGTGTGTGGGTTGCATCAGTCTTTATTGCCTTGGCACTGGGTATCTTAGGCAGGGGAAAGCACAGCTTTTCCAAATCGCCAAGCATGGCCTCACCCACATCCAGAACACCTATTGTAGGCATACTGGGAGAAGAGTGTTGCTGCCCTCAGTGCCTACCATCCCTTTGTGCGGGAACCGGGAGGCTGAGGCCACATGCCGCCCCAACTTCCTGTGGTGCTGGGGGGTGGTTGGGTACAGGGCTGAGTGGTGTGCCTCCCCCAGCCCTACCTTCACCTAATGGCATGCTTGGCACATAATTCTGTAGTGGTGTGCCTCCCCCAGCCCTACCTTCACCCAACAGCATGCTTGGCACATAATTCTGTGCAGGAAAGACTGTTTCCCTTTTACTTCTGATTATTTGATGAACTAGTTTTAAGAGAACCCTTAATTAATAAAATCTTTTGTTATGTTTCAAATCTTTGGAAACATTTTAACAAATATATAGTGAAATTTCATTAATATGTTTTCTTGTGAGAATCACAAAAAATAAGTTCATGTTCCCCTTTTCTAAAACACACTAAACCACTCCAATTTAAAATATATGCATTTTTTTCAGCGAGTTTAAATATGTAGTAACCTGGAATGTTTACTTATGCAGGCTTAAGAGTATATTTAAAATATAAAATCAGCTTAAAAATACTGATGAAGGAAATGTAAAACAGAAGAGCTGCATCATGTATTCCATAATATATAATGTTATATTCAGCGGGACAATTAACTAGCCCTTACCACAAAGCTGTTGCAAATAAATCTGAAAAACTTCAAGGTATATCAAAAAACCTGTGAATGACATTTTTCCCCCCCATCCAAAATTTAGTGCTTTTAAGTAGGTGCCTTCTACATGTCTAGTCATCACAATCTAGTATGCAGTGGAAAACATGCTCCGTTTTCTGTGCAAGACATTTTAGAAAAGTGTTTTTCCCCCAAGTTTCGTTTGGTACACTTGGGTTCAGGGATTTGGATAAAGAGAGAGATACAGAGGAGAACAGAACTGGGGGCATTAGGGGTAAAGTATGAGTAGGCTGGAGAGCTTGTTCCTCCAAGTAGCCGCTTCACCTATCCAACTTTCTAGTCCAGTGGTGAGGATACTTGCTTGGTTGTAGGTTATCAATGGTGGCTCTGCAGAGCCAACACGCATGGGGAGTGGGCTTGAGAACCAGCTTCCCACGCACACTAGCTCCCTCCTGCTCTCCCCACGCTGCTGCCTCTGATACCCTGCTCATGCTGGCTCCCCACAAACACTGGCTCCTGCCTGCCTCCCCCCCACTGCTTCTGTGGGAGGCAGCAATGGGGAGCAGGCAGCTCTGCAGAGCCGGCATGTGCAGAGAGCCAGCTTAAAAGCTGGCTCCTTGTACATACTGGCTCCCACCTACTTCCCCAGGCCGCTGCCTCTGATAGGGTATGTCTACACTACCCTCCTAGTTCGAACTAGGAGGGTAGTGTAGACATACCCTCATAGACCTTATAATCAGGGAAGGATGGGGGCCATGACAAAGAGACTTAAAGTTGAGGTATAAAGTATGAGGGAATATTTGAAACCAATTGTTCACATCTGTACCTTGATATTAGGTTTTCACATCTATTAAATATTGAACTGAACTTTTCTTTAAAAATATAGCCTATCAACTGAATTGAGATGAAAGATAAAAATGTGAATAATTTTAAAATAAGTGGCCAGCCATGATTAATTCATTTGGTGCTCATTACGGGGTTCGAACCAGCGGGGTTTTAAAAATGGCGGCTCCCCGCTTATGCAAATGAAGCCCAGGAAATTCAAATCCCGGGCTTCATTTGCTAGTGCGTTATGCCTACATTACCCCGCTAGTTCGAACTAGCGGGGTAGTGTAGACATACCCATAGTGAGGCAGCTGTGTTCGGGAACGGGGCAAGAGGCCAGATGGCTGCGTGGGGAGTCAGCTTGAATGCTAGCTTCCCATGTGTACCAGCTTCCATTTGCCCCCCTAATCCTCCACACTGCTGCCTCTCTATCAGAAAGCTTGTACCTCAGGTTAGAACCCACAACCTCCTCCCACACAGCAAACTCCTGTTCCAACTTGGGGGAAGTGAGCATAGGGTAAGGGAGTGGAGCAAAGGGTCCCAAAAATTGTATTAATCAAAACAGAGGGTTTTGGGTAGCTAAGGTTTGAGAACTGCTGATCTAGCCCGTTGGTATTTATGTGAACCAGTTGTTTCTGACTGGATTTTACCAACAGAGAAGTGATGCTGTTAAGGCTCGAGGAAATGAACGAAACAAGGGGAGATGAAACCTGCACCTCATGAATTTCTGCTTGACATGCCTAGGTGTCCACACTGGCTTCTGAAAACTCTGCAACTTACTGAGAACACAACTACTCACCATGACTGTGCTGTCCATAGAGACGGAGAAGAGCTTTGTGTTGCCATCAGCTATACACAGGAAGCCAATTGGGGAAGTATGTCCACGCAGTAAGCCAATAGCCCATCTAGTAAAACAAAATACTTGTAAGTAGATTTAACTCTTGAATTGTGAAAATTTTCCTGAAGTCTCATGGTGTTAATTACCCTCTTGTGTGACAGTTTTTTAAAATATTTGTTCATGATGAACAAGCCCTTATTTTTTACCTTGAATTTAATATTATGGGAAAATTACAATTTATTTGTAGATATTCATCACCTAACACTAATGATTTAATCCTCACAATACACAGGCAAGATTGGTAAGCTTTATTAGTTCCATTTCACAAGTGAGGAAATGGACACACAGAAGTATCCAAGACCACACAGGAGAAGGAGCAGAGCTAGGAATTAGGGATGTGAAAGTGTAAACATGTACATGAGCCTAAGCTCATTGGTTAACCTTCACAGTTACATGCAGCTCCTCCTCCCTTGCACTGCTGCTTCTGCTGCAGACAGGAGTCTCTGCTCCTGGGGAGCCTCCTGCCCCACCCAGTGCTGCAGGGGCAAGGGAAGGGAGAAGGCTGCTCCAAGGGTTGCAAGCAGAGCTGGTCCACGAGGGGAGCCAGTTTAAAAATCAGCTCCCTCTGTAGACTGATTTCCGCCTCCCCTCTCCCACAGAGCAGCTTCTATCAGGCAACAAGGGGGGTGGTGAGTATTGTGGTTTGGATGAACTGATAAGCCTAGACTTATTGGTTAACTGTTTACACGACTAAGTGCTAACATCCCTATTGTATTGTTCTAGTTTAATAAAAATGTTGTGCAAAATTGAAATGTCTTACAGAAGTCTAACTTTATCAACCAAACTAGTAGTCTCAAATAAAATATTGAGTTAATTTGATATGTTGATCTGCATTACTCACTCTCCTTTATTAATCAAGTCCCATATCAGCCATCCCCTTACTTGGGCTGGAATTTCTGACAGGCCTATAATTACATGGGTTGTCTTGTTAAACACATGTCCAAGTCTTTTAAAGATTGGAGCCTGAAAGATTATACATGTAGAACCATAAGCCAATTTTGCAGTTACTTTTACAGCAGCACTGCACTTGCAGTCTTTGCATAATACCATATTTTCAATTCAAAGTGAATGTAGCTTTTAGTTCTAGCTCCTGGGAACAGGGATCAGCTTGTCTTGATTATCTTAAAAATACATTGTTAGTGCTACAATAAACAAATACATGAAAACTGACTGACACTGTTAAACCCTTCAGCCACCTACCCAGGGACATAAGGATTCCATAGACGAATATTCCGGTCCAAACCACCAGTCACAAGAATATTACTTTCTTTACAGAAGTCAAAGGCCTTGACCCCTCTGGGCACTTTGAACTGGGATTCATCACAGTTAAAGCGCCTTGGAGGAGAAGACCCAGCTGGCAGAGAGCACCTGGTTGGAACACTTTTCGAGTCCATCAGAATCTTCAGACGATGCTGCACATCTTTAGTTCCACTGACACAGCCTGTGCCCGAAAAATTGGAATGAGAAAAATAAACAACATGCTTTTTTCCCCCCCAATTACATTAAAAGAAAATGTCAAGAGCCCATTCCTGCAAAGGTACAAACACTTAACTTTACCCATGTAAGATGTCCCATTGAGGTCAATGGGGATACTCACATAGATAAAGTTAAGCAGGGGTGTAAGTGCTTGCAGTATTGGAGTGTGTTGCGAGGCTGAAGATCCAAAGCTGTTCAGTGAAGTGCATACAGAGAGCGTTAATGTACCATTTAAAAGTCAAATGTTTTTTAAAAAAAAAAAACATTTCTATTTACCTACTGGACTGTCAAGTGGCAAAAATATAAACTCACCACACAGCAGAGGCTACTACCCTGTGGGCTGGCTGTGGCTCCCCTTTCGGTGGGGCATGACCTGGTGCAGAAGACTGCAGCCCCACCTAGGTTTGGCCCTGCTATCCCTCTCTCAGGACAAAGGGCCAAACCTGAGCAGCACTGTGACCTAGGTTGCAATACAGTATTTGGTTCAAGGAACTGGGACCAGACCTGCAGAACAGAAACTTCTGCTGTGAGGTGGCTTCCTCTGCAGCCTCACCTCTCCCGCCCCGCCGGGGCAAGACACAACCTCCTCCCTGGCATGGTTCCCTGTAACATGACAACTCACAGCCATGGGACCTCCTTCTGGTCACTTGGGAATTAGCTCTTCAGTGCTGAAGTGCCCCCTTCAGTCTAGCATCTCACCTGCTGTTACCTTTTCATGGCTCCACCAGCCCATGTCCCCCCCCCCCACTTCCCCCCAGACTGCACTGCCCTTCCCTCTGGGTACTGCACTACTGCAGTGCCACATTTTGGGGTTCTCTCCCTCCCAAGGAACCCCCAACGTCCACCTTGCTTCAGTGGCCTACTCCAGTCATCATCTAACCCCTGCCCCAGGGGCAAACTGCAGTCTGAAATGGCCACTCATCATTGGCAAGCAGTTGTGGACCTGCTGCCTTTGCCTACCCTGACCTCCTCCCTGCAGTACCCTCAAGGCAAGCTTCAGGCCCTGTAGCCTGGGAGATTCCCTGGCCAAGCTTCCCCTGCTCTGTGTGCATTTCTCTAGTCAGGAAGCCTCTAGCTTCCCTGGCAGCTAGGTCCCTTCTGCTTTACAGCTGAAGCAAGAAAGAATGAGTCTATCTTTGCTCCCTCCAGGACCTCTTATTATACAGCCCCAGCTGGGCCCTAATTGTCGGTCTTCAACTCAGCTGATGGTTCCACTGATCCAGCCCTTTTCCAGGGCTGGGTTTTAACACTTAATGGGCCAGTGCAGGGCAGATGTCCCATCACATGCTCCCACTTTATATAGCACATCCATGACGTTACACTCCATTTTCCCCCTTAATCCCTTAGCTTTTATTAAATGTACTGTGACTTTTGAGGGGGGGTGTAAAAAAATGCTGTGAGAAATCTGCAGTCCTCTCTATCTGCCAAGTGAAGTGAAAGTAAATAGCTTCTCTTTGAGTTTGCTTGAATGTTGAAGTAAAAATACAGAATAAACATTTACAGCTCTTTTCATGTTCAAAGCACTTTACAAACATTATCTAATTTGAGTCTCATAATACTCCTTTTGGATAGATAATTTAACTTCAATCCTGCAAGGTGATCCTTCTGGCAAGAAAAGTCTAAGGTGTCCGTGTTATGTTCTCTCACCAGACTGTTTTGTAGGGGATAGAGACATCTTTTTATCTGTTACAGGAAAACTGAGTTACAAGTTATTTTGAGTTTCAGTTCAGCTGTAGAATGTAAAAGAGTCATTATGATTTCTTGTGATTATGATTTCTTTCTCTCTAAGACTTCATATTTGGACATTCTTTGTCAACTGTTTATTCTGATTTCAGATTAAAACAATCATGACTGAAAAATACTTGCCTTGCTTTTTATTTGTGGAGAAATATAACAGAATCTCTAATTTTTCTAAATTAATATACAAGTAGACATTCAAGACAATCTAACTGATTTCAGAAAAAGTCAAATTGATTTTGCAGATAACTCATTACTTCAATTTCTCCCTCATAACAAATCATTCTTTGTCTCTTCTCTCTCCACCATCATTTAGGAAGCAAACAGCACAGTGATTTGTTCTATATATAAGGGGCATTGAGAAATATCATGTGGTTTAATATGTTAAAGAAGTATTATATACCATTTTTAAATGAGGAGATGAAAAATGGTAACTTGTATTCTTATGTTCAAATGGCTTTTTGTTCTCAAGGATAATGACAGTAATGCAATTTTGAAAGCGAAAGAGGCAAATATGTGCTATCATATCCCAGAGATGTCCTATACAGTATGAACTGAAAATCAGTAACAAAATGTTAACTGTGGTTTCAGTCATGCATAGTATAAACTAATCAATAATTTGTTGAGACAGATTTCAAGTCTTACACTGTGTGGCATATTGGTGCTCTTCTAATCACCTGAATGTCCTAAGTAATATTAAATCACTCCACATTGCACTAAAAGATCACGGTCACTTACAAAGTCAAATGCCTGTAACAAATTGAAACAAACCAATAGTTTTACATTCTCATACACAGTTATATACAGCTTTCTCTTTTTTTAAATAAGCAGAATGGAAGGGAATGGAGCAGTATTTTAGCACAACAGTTTAAGAAACACTAGAGTTTAAAGGACTAGGACATTAGAGTCAGGTAACCAAACTGCAGCACTGCTATGCAAGGAAATCTGTCTTTCAGAATGGCCTAGGATTCTTCCCTATAAACCAGAAGGGCAGTTGCAAGAACCTTTTACCTCCTTATGGACTTTGAAAATGAAACTTATCAGCATAAAGTCTTCCTCTTAAGAAATGCTGAGATTCAAGAGTAAGCCTTCCTTGCCACAGAAGTTATTTCAATGTGTGACAAGATTCTTCTGCTTGTACATTTTCACTTACCTATAACTACTGCAGTATAATCATCATTTGAACTGGATATAATGGAATCTATAGAATGAATATACTTGATCTGCAACAGATGATAGAAAAAAATACAGACATTTTTAGTAAAACGTCTGACATGCTTTTCAGGCTTCAATGAGTTTTTAAAAAAGGCTTGTTTTACTTTTTTATCTAGACATATTTAGGGCCATATTCAAAAAGGTATTGGACAATATTCCAATCACCATTGCAACGGCTGACCCCTAGGTGCCCTACCACCTTGGGTAATTCTCAACCGTGACCTAGGTGCCTAGGCTCTCCATACAATGAATGGGGAGCATTAGATACCTAAGAAAGGGATCTTCAGAAGCCAGAGCTGAGTTATACTATCCAGGAGTGAAGTATGAGGAAAGGGATTAGGCCCAGAGCCTGACAGGTATTTAGGTGCTTGATTGATGGGCCAGATTAGGTGTTTCCCTCCACTCATGATTCTCAGCCATGAACCCTCTCCTGGAATTACCAGGTCATCCCTTTTTTGTGGAGGAAAGGAATTTCAACCGTGAATAGTCAATAGTTTAATGGCCTTCATAGCTTACGTGCAACATGCCTCAGGTGGCACATTACTAGGATTCATCACCAAATTTTATCTGCTCTTTGAAGCATTAGTTACCCCAGCTTGAGCTGGGTACTAACAGGCAGTGCAATATGAACACTGACCCGTGCCTTCCAGCTTTATGGTGAGGGCACTCAACTGGGATGCAGGAGAATGCCGTTCAAGTCTTTGCACCACATGTGGCAGAGACGGGACTTTGAACCCAAGGCTCCCACTTTCCAGGTGCATGTCCTAACTATCATGATGGTGGGGACAGAAAAATTCTCTCTTGGCTGTCTTTTATATCAGGACTTGCACATGCTCCAAAGCAGGCCTAAGGAATAGGCCCTGCCAATGCTAGGTCACTAGGTGACCTCTGCCTACTTTGACAATCCTGTGTTAGGGATTTTGAAGCTTTGGCTTGAGCTAGGTCTTCGAGCAGTTTGTTGGCTGTGCACAGTGTCACTGTTTTTAGGCGGCTTTGTGAATGCTGACAAGTAGAATCTCGTAGGCACCTATAGGCAATTGACCAGCCTTTTTGATTTTGTTATTACACTATAACCGCCATACTCCAGGTGTCCTCCCGGACCGTGGCAGGCAGAGGCAGAAGTGGTTCAGCTGAGAGAATGGCAGCACAACGATGCTCTCTGCCAGAGACTTTTCCTCACTGCTCCCATAGCAGCGGGGAGGTAGGGTCTGGAAGGGTGGGGAACTCAAGAGTGCCAGGTAAGCACCTTATCCTCATCCCCCTCACTCTTTTCCCAGCCCGGCAACATCTTTCATGCGGCAAAACCTGTTCCCCAGGGTTGCCCAATTAAAGAGGTTCAAGTATAGTGCCTAAATGCTGGACTTAGGCACTTAAGTATCTGGGCCATAGGGAATAAGGTATGCAGTTGTTCCCAACAATAGTGAGAACTAGGCATGCACTAGTCTCCCAAACAGTGCATGGAAAATCTGGCATGAGAGGTACACTCCCAAAACACATGAAGCAGCTCACATTATGCTGACATGAGAGAGTTCCCTACCCCAATGAGGGTATGTCTACACTGCATCCCTAGTTCGAACTAGGGATGCAAATGGAGACAATCGAAGTAGTTAATGAAGCGGGGATTTAAATATCTCGCGCTCCCTTAACATGATCTCGCCGGCGCGCTAGTTCGAATCACAGCTGATTCGAACCAGGAAGTGCGCGCCGGGACGCGTTAGTTCGGACTAAAGCCCTTAGTCCGAACTAATGTTACTCCTCAAAAAATGAAGTCAAATGGAAGTCAAATCCTCTTACCTTGGTCACCCAATCGTTATGAACCTTCCAGCGAATGAAGGTGATGTTTCTACTATCAATAATGTTCTCCAAGGAAACACTGGGGATTTCCTCCATAGCTGGACACTTTGTCCAATTCCTATAGTCATGGAAAACTGTTAGTAACTGAGAGAATTGAGGCTTTTTTGTTTGCTTTATGAACTGATTTTTTTTTTAAGTATTTGGTTCCCCAGAGCACTGGACATTGTGAATTTATTTGTAACTATGTAAACCATTCCCTTAAATCAGATGTCTGTTTTGTACAGGTGTTAGATGAATCACAACACAAGAGGCAAGGCAATTAAACATCAAGCCCCAAATTTTTGTTAGGGTATGTCTAGACTATGCTAGACTTTCAAGGAGGATATGCAAATATCCACCGGAATTTGCATATCTTCTTTCGAGCTCACTTTCGAAAGCGGCACTTTTGAAAGTGAAACTAATCCAGTAGTTTTGTCAGTGAACGCTCCCGTTTGTCGACAAGCCACTTTTCCTTAAAAAATGAGGTTTATGCGGCTTGTTGACAAACGGGGGTGGTTCACCAATAAAACTGCGTCTAGATTACTTGCACTTTCGAAAGTGAGCTCGAAAGAAGATATGCAAAGTCCCGTGGAATTTGCATATCCTCTTTCAAAAGTCTAGCGTAGTCTAGGCGTACTCTTCATGAGATTGGAATGATGAAGGTATCTGAAAATCAACTCTTATATTGTATACTCTGAGCTATGATTCATGAGACAGTATGAAGAGGGTAGGAGCTCATTGTGTTGGGCACTGTATAAACATAAAACAAAAATGGGACCATCCCAAAGAGCTAGATTTGTGAGTATAAATTATAATATAAAGTATTACTCGGCTCTCATGTAGCCAGCTGCACATAAGGGGCATTTCCACTGAAATCAATGGAGTTACGCTATGAGACAGGAATCATAAATCAATTTTCTCCTAGTTAAATGAATACTGCCAGGTAGCTGAGGCCAAAATTGTAGATTTTTGTTAAAAAAATATAAAAATGATTACATTTGATGTTAAATGTAATTTTAATTGTTTTTTTTTAAATTTCAATGACAGAATCCTTTGCTATGTTTACAGTCTAAGCATTTCAGCATTGTGTCAATTAGCACATCAGAGTCAGACAGCAATATACATCCCTTCTTCTTTTCCTACACTACGACATTCAGCCACTCACTCCTGACAACTAGGTTGTACACTACGCCATCAACATAAGATCAAGACAGCAGCCTGTCACTGATGCTTCTCAATTGGCCATCAGTGTTCAGTGACATCTTTTTCCCCACCATTGGCTCTTTCTTCTCTCTCTGTTCTTATCTATGAAACTTTTATAAACAAAGTTTTAACTTTGTCTAACTGTATAACATTTAGAGAATGTAAAGCACTGTTTTAAAGTGATCACTATTTATTATCATTGTCATTAACTGAAGTATTCATAGGTGCTCAGGTACTGACAGCTAGCCAGACACTAGAGTAGATCTAATGTCCATACTCTCACTGCTGGATTCACTAGAGCTGCATCCTGTGCATTAGTATATTTGAGACTCAAAGAGGATCTTATGGCTTTTGGCAGCACTTCTGACAAGTGAGCTGAAAGGTGGCTTCCCTTTGGCCAAGCCACTAGCGTGGTGCTCATTTGCCTGGGCTTTAGTATGATGCTTCACATCATCTTCTGCAGAGAGGTAAAGAACTAATCACATACCTAAGTGTTTCTCCCACGGAAGAGATCAAGATTATGTTAACAGAGCCCTAAGGAGTAAAAGGCCAACAAGTTAGAGCCCATAATGAAGGGAGTGAGCAAGAATTCACATTTCAGCGATAACATCATGAATATTTAAAGCACATATTTAGTTTTAAACCCTTGGTTTAAAAACAAATACTCAGACGTTTGTTTCTAGCATTGAGTACCCAGTCAAAGCATTGCTGCCTACTTTAAACATTTTATTGGACTGTTCCTACTACACTTCCCATTAGCCAATGTATTCACATATTAGTCAACTTCACTATCATAACCAGCAGCGACAAATTAACAAAACAGCCCTTATCCCCATTCTCAGAGAGTATGTTTAGGCTATAAAGGCTAACTAACACTTATTCTAATATATTTCAACTAAATTGAAGGTACTGTAATGATATAATTAACATACCTGTTCATCACCATACAAAATTATGCATTCATCTTCCTCTCGAACACTTCATAAAACGATAAACAGATTTTTACAACACATTCAATAAAAAAGCCATTCCCTATATAGGTCAACAATTACTTTATGTAAGAAAAAAATCAGAAGATTAATTACAAGTAATATTACAAGTATTATTGCTACTTTTGCAGAAGAAATGAGATAACAATGCAATTAACATCTGTACCCTTCTCTATAACTTGCAAATACAGGGTACAACCCTGACTCCATTGAAGTCAGTTGCTAAACTCCCCTTGACTTCAGCTGAGCCAGGTTTTCACGTGTGTTTCTAGACCACGAACAACTTAAAATTTGATGGTGCTGTTGAAATACACAAATGATACAGGAAAAAATTGACAGCATAAGCAGGTTCAACTCCTATACATCCAAATAAGATGCACGGGCAAACGTTAGCACTAAACAGTAGGGTATGTCTACACTACCCCCCTAGTTCGAACTGGGGGGGTAATGTAGTCATACGGAGTTGCAAATGAAGCCCGGGATTTGAATTTCCCGGGCTTCATTTGCATGAAGCCGGCCGGCGCCATTTTTAAATGCCGGCTAGTTCGGACCCCGTGCCGCGCGGCTACACGCGGCATGGAGTAGCTAGTTCGGATTAGGCTTCCTAATCCGAACTAGCTAGTCCATGCCGCGTGTAGCCGCGCGGCACGGGGTCCGAACTAGCCGGCATTTAAAAATGGCGCCGGCCGGCTTCATGCAAATGAAGCCCGGGAAATTCAAATCCCGGGCTTCATTTGTAACTCCGTATGACTACATTACGCCCCCTAGTTCGAACTAGGGGGGTAGTGTAGACATACCCGTAGGGATGTGAATGTTTAGCTGGATACGGTTAACTGGTGGATGCAGTCCCTGCCTGTGGTGGGGGGAGAAGGTGAGAGAGCAGGAGCTGCTCCAGCCCAGTGGCAGGCAGGGGAGGGGCAGGCACTCCAGCAGGGATGGAGTGACCCCACCTCTACCCTCCCTCCCCTTTAAAAGGTTAACTGGTCAACCCATTAAATGGGATTTTATCGCCTTACTAAATATTGTCCCAAACATTCAGTGGGAACAGAATATCCTGGGTTTTTTTAATTATAAATAATATGAATAGCAGATCATACCTGTAATCTAAGTGTAGAGGCATTGTTTCAAGGCCAATGATTTGACAGTATGGTTCAAAGTTGGAAAGTTCATATAGGCGTATCTCTCTGTCACTGAAATATTCATGAAACACCATAGATTGTACTTAATATACTAGAATACATGAAATACTTAAACTTATTGTTTTTAATAAACAATAAAAATCTTTCATTCATATTATGAATAACCCTATCTCTGTAGAAGAAATATTATGTCAATTTTATAGCTGGACCGAAGTACAGAGACGTTACATCTGAGTTGCTTTTCAGATAGATGTAAATCTAGAGCAACTTCATTGAAATCAGTTTATTGTCATTAGTGCAGGAGAAGAGAATCAGGCTTGAGAGTTAGAGGCAGAACCAGGAATAGTGCTAAGCAGTCCTAATTGTGCCCTTGTTCTAGTCACCTCTCATGGTGATTTCTCAATTAGACAAACAGATGCACTCTGTTTCCCTTCATCTGTGATATCTATAAGGATCATGTAATAACAAAGAGACCAAGGGCATGTACACTTAAAGACTGCAGCGATGCAGCTGCACTGCTTCACTGAAGATATTGCCTATGCAGAAAGGGAAAGGGGGTTTTCCTATTGGTGAAGGTGTTCCACCTCCCTGAGGCCAGGTCTATACTAGACTCAGAAGGTCGACTACATAAACAACATAGCTCGAGTCAACATACCTTAAGCCAAGCTTGGCGCCATCTTCACAGTGGGAGGTTGACGGGAGCAAATGCTCCCATCGGCTTCCCTTACTAATACTGGTGCCACTCTCACCTTTTCTAGACCTGCTAAATCTGGCACATAAGTACAGATGTGGTCTGAGAGGCAATAGGTATGTTGACATAAAAAGCCCTCCCATTGACTCAGCACTGATTACACTGGAAGTTAAGTCAATATAAGTCACTTAAGGGTGTGGAAGATTCACATCCCTGAATGATATAGTTATACCAACATAAACTGCTAATGTAGACTAAGTCTAAGATTATATGGGTCTCCTATAAATTCACTCATCCATCTCTAAAAATCTCTCATTCATCCTCATATCCCATCCCATATAACTCACTTTTATACTGAGAGATTTGCAAGCACATTAACTGCTACTTCCAATTGCCCATGCGGTTTTCTCAGCTAAGTACAGTTATTTTTAAAATAAAATGTTAGCTATAATGAGGAAAAGAAAGAGAACTGTAATTCTGCTCTGGTAACATCAGAGCTATGCTGCAATAAGAGATGTTACAAATAGACTGACAAAATATTACAGAAAACTCCAAACTAGAAAAACTGTGTTCAATCTCAGAACACAGCACAAGAGTGTTTTAGGAGGGAGGCAAAAACAAAAACATAGCTTTTTGTTTAAGAACTGATATTTCAACGTGCTATAAAACCTCTGTGCACACACAGATTGTCTCAGGGACATCTTTACTAAAGGACTCCAGATTTGTAACACTATCCCTTCCCTGGGTCTTGCTTATAAAAGGCAATCTTCAAGATATAATGCCCAGTATCAAAAAGGACCTTTCAATAGCTGCCATATAGTCAGCCTTGGAGGCTGTATATTCCACGTGGCAGTGGGTTAAGACTTTATGCTTCGGAGGAAGGCATTAAACCTTTATAGTGACAACAAATGTATCTTGTAGAGCTACGCTGTGTATGGGGGCAGGGAGGGGAAATATTAATTTTGAATTCTACTATGTACCCATTGGGAATGCACATATTCTAGATCTTTATCAATGGCCAGGGACTGGGCTGAGGCCACTCGTTGGACTTGAGAGAAAAAATGAGAATACAAGGTACACATTTCCCACAAAGGCATATTCAGTTTTTCTGACCCATGCATCTTTTAAAAGAAAACACTCATCCATATTTAAGAAACTGTATTTTTTGAAATCCAAAGCACTGTTCAAATGGGAGCGTTTCATTAATATTCAGAAGTCCAGCAAAGGGCTACTCACCAGGTTCCTATAATCAACTTATTGTACTGAGGCATTAAAGTTGAATCTAAAATCCATTTCAGTTTTCTGTTTAATACTTTGTTTTCATCCTGCAGGACAAAAGGAAATTGCCCAGAACTTACCGTAAGGTGAACATACACTAAAAAACCAAAGTGCATAGATTCAATATATGGATAAATACAATTATTTGAATGCTGAAAAATACAGAAAAATATGCTAATTTGAACACGAATTCAGATACAGCCAGTCTTCCCTGTAAGCTGAGCACTTGTGCAGCTGCTCAGGAGAGATTCAAATGCCACCCAGCTCATTAGCGGAGCGCCCACAGGCAGGTTTGTGTTTCTATTGGTGGTGCTCATACAGTAAAACTCCATTGGTCCGGCATCCAATGCTCCAGCACTCCTGATAGTCCAGCACCATCGGGAACCAGGAAGTGCTCCGGGCAGCCGGACAATTGGAGCTGCTTTGCGCCCAGCTTCCCCATTCAGCCACTGCCGGGCTGGGGAATGGGGGAGGCCAGGGGCAGAGCCGCTGGGGTACTGCCGGTTGGTCCCATAGCGCTGCCCCTCGGGGCTGCAGAACCAACCCGGCAGCACCCCAGCTGCTCTGTCCCAGGCATCCCCAAGTCAGCTGCTGCTGAAACTGATCAGCAGCTGACTGCAGGAAGCTGGGGGCAGAGCTGCTCTGCCCTGGGCTTCCTGGAATCAGTTGCTGGTCAGTTTCAGCAGCAGCTGACTCATGGATGCTTGGGGCAGAGCAGCTGGGTTGCTACCAGGTTGGTCCCGTAGCACCGCCCCTTGGAATGGGATGCAGGCGTCAGGGCAGGAGACTGGGAGTGTGCAAGAGTCAGGGTTGGGGTGAGGAGGGACTCAGGGCACGGGATGGCGTGCAGGAGTTAGAGCAAGGGGTTGGAAGGTGTGGGGAAAACTCAGGGAAGGAGATGGGGGGGCTTGTGGCAGGGAATGGGGGCACCCACCTGGGATCAGCCTACGGCGGGGTTGCGGCTATTTAATAAATCCCGCCGATCCAGGAGCTCAGGGCTCCGCACACAGAGCTGCCTGGCTGGGGACAGAGCAGTGAGTCTTGCCCAGCCAGAGTGAACCATTGCTGTAGCTGAGGGAGAAGTGCTCCTCCCTCAGCCAGGCAGCACCATGGTGGAGCCCTGAGCCCCTGGCTGGATGGGGCTCATTAAACAGCTACAGGGGCATGCTACCACAGCTTAGAGGGAACCTTGGTCAGAGAGGTGTGCAAGCCATCCGCCAGCTTCTCCTGAGACCAGCCTGTGGCAATTGCTTCCTGGGGCCAGTCTGGGGTAGCAGGGGTCATACTGGCTGGCTGGCAGCTGCTACCTGGGGCTGGCCCAGAGCAATGGGGCTATACTGGCTGATCAGCTCTTGCTGCCCCCTGTGGTCATTCAAGGTATAACTGTCCCCTGTGCTTGCTCCTCCCCCCCACTCCCCATGATCATTTGTGAGTACAACTGTCCCTGCTATCACAGCCCTCCCTTTCCATTTGATGAGAACAATCCCATTCCATGCACATCCCATTGTCTTGGTACAACCAAACACTGACCCTGCTTTAAGTTAAGATAAGAGGAAGCTGCTTACCAAATTTGATGATCCTAGCTCTTACTATTTAGGAGGAGTTCTTGAACAAAAGGACTTACAGATGGGCGGATGGACACAAACAGACAGAGACACAAACTCTCTCAAATATATAGTAAAATATATGGGATGTAGTATTAACACACCGCATGAATTGCAAAAATCTACCAAGTACATTCAAGAGTTTGAAATGAAACCACCATCAAAACAGCTCATCTACCAGATTGTACCAATCACCAATTAATGGGACTTTACTGGCAGTAGAAACTAATCTTTTCATCAACAAGCATGAGGTTTCTCCTCCAATACCAGATGCAAATTCTGAAATTGAAATGTGATGTTCCATGTAGAAATGCCTCATTTCTAGGGTCAGAGAGTGAAGATTCTGAGGCATCACCAGCTATATCCTATTTAAAAAGGAAAGCCATTTAAAGAAAACTCACAAGTATAAGCCGACTCTTCTTCAGTTTTAAGTTTCTGGTCCAGATGGAAACCAATCCATCCTGCCCAACACCTATGATGTTATTATCCGGTGTAGGAGAGATGTAAAGGAGGGATTCTCTGTGTGGTATCTCTGACACTGTGGGTGGGAGGTGAAATGATATTTGCTTGGTCCTTGGTTGGTGCTCTTCCTTCACAAGGCAATCAAGTTACATGTGAAAACAAATAACATTCAATAAAGATACACCAGATTACACATTCTCTGAGACTCTCTTTAAATATATAGTTTCATACTTACAAAAAAACCTAAAACTAAAAACTTGTAAAAGAGGTTTTAATCCAGTTCATGTTGAAGTTAATGGGAATTTCTCAGAATTGGGTCCAGTTTCTTTGTTTTTTTCCTAACACATAAGGTAATTCATAAGGGTATGTCTACACTTGCAGCCTAATTCAAACTAAGGCTGCAAATGTAGGCATTCGGAATTGCAAATAAAGCCGAACTACCTGTTATTCCTCCTGCAATGAGGTTTAACAGGTAGTTCGTAATAAGGCTTTATTTCGAATGCCCGTTTCCCTGCCGCGTGGGCAGTTAGTTCGGGCTTGTAAGTTTCAAAAAATGGCAACCAGCCGGGAACATACAAATCAAGCACGGGATATTTAAATCCCAGGCTTGATTTGCAATTCCGAATGCCTACATTTGCAGCCTTAGTTTGAATTAGGCTGCAAGTGTAGACATATCCTAACATTCATAAAATCTGCTCACGGCATAAGCATAAAGCTAGTTAGCTCACTCATTTGTGTTGTCAAAACAGTCTCATGCAGATATGAATGCAATTCTATTGAGAACTAATTTTCAGATTTGAAATAGCAAGTTACAGTGCCAAAAAGGACCAGATAAGAGCCCTTCAGTGCTCTCATATACAGCACTTCATTCAGCTGCAAGAGGTGAATGTTGTGTGATTCTACTTCCTAAACTCCCTGGAATTGAGCATGTTACTGCCAGTGTCTTTGAAACTGACATAAAGTTAAGTCCTGAAGATTTTTTTAAAAATGCACAATAAACATTGACTATATGAGAAATTTGCCCAGTGTCAGTGAATCTTCTATGTGAGTCCACTTCAAGGGACAGCAGACAGGCAAACACACCTTTTTAGTTTTTCTGTGGGTGACCTGATGATTTCATCTCTCACCCTTCAATTTGTTCGGGTCTTGTGTGGGGAAGTGAAGGGCAGCTAGTGTGGATTAATGTACCCCAATCTAAACATAGGGTATCACACCTGCTATCCCTTTAATATTTTACTAAATGGGCCAAAAAAAAACAAAACCCCTAGCCTTCTTTGATCTTTTATGTCACTTGTTCCCACAATGCATTGTAGGAATCAGAAATCCAGGTTATGTCACAGGGGCGGTTTTTATAGAATAGGAACAGTTTCTGGAAAAACTGTCATTACCATAAGAAAGAGTCCAGGATTTCACCACTCCAAATCCTCTTACCAACCTAAAATATATTTAACCTCTGCCTGGTAAATAAGACAACATGGAACACATATCTTGGTATTTGCCCAAATTTAAGGATGATTTAGAGGAAATAAGCAGTCAGTCTTTAGATAACCTTACTCAAGTTCCAGAGCAAGGAGTTGCACTTACTCCAACTTTGTAAGACATGTGCTTGTTTCCCAGGGAAAACACTGTGTTTGTGCTAAGAACATAGATTTAAGATTTATAACTAAAAAGGAAAAGAAAGCACCGATAGAGGGCACGAGTACAGTAACAAAATAACCCACTGTTCACATGAAACAGAAAATAAGTACCCAACTAGCGATAACAATCAGATCTATTCCCCAACACTCCCATGTCAGGCCCACATAGATTAGTAGAGAAGCTATCTAGGTGAGTGTCATGAGGCTGACCCTAAAGGAATCAGATACCCAGACTAACTGTGACAGGCTCTGCTGAAGGAAATGAGCCAACCCAGCTCCATCTCTGCACAGCTAACTGCCTAAAGCAATTAAATAATAGCTGGGCCCACTGAAAGGCTTAAGAGAGCTCAGTGGGAGAGGCTCATGAGGCAGAAGTGAGGGGATTTCCCAGAGAGCTTATAGGAGCCAGAAATGGCTCTTCAAAAGCCAAAGAGAGAAAGGATTATTGCTACTCTCCAGTCAGGCAGGCCTGGGAAAGATCCTGACCAAACAGAGGAAAGACTTTCAAAGCACTTCTTGCAGTGGAGAAATCTGAGACTTCAGATAAGCTGCAGCTGCAACCCAGAGACTTTTGTTTTGGGACTTTTAAACTTTTATCTGAGCTTTGTGGCAAGTACCTTTAAACTACTGTACAAGTGCCCCTTTCAGAAGGCATTATTAAAGATAGAGCTAGTACTGTAACTTGTTTGTTTTCTTCTTGATCAGGCTGTTACAGTGAGCTCACTGAGGCAGGCCACAGCACAGCCACACTCTGATGCAAGGGTGTGCTATAGAGGTGATGCTACCACATTACATATTTAGCCATTCATGCTGGTATTTAATAAACTAGGCAAACCAGAGACATTCCAGAGAACTGGAAAAAAATAATGTTGAACCAATATTTTTTAAAGTCAAATGGATGACCTGGATAACTATAGGCTGACACTGATCCAAGGCAAAAATCAAGGTAAAAGTTGCAAGGGTGATAGAATAATTAAAGAATGGCAGCATAATTAATACCAGTAAACATGGTTTTATAGAAAATAGTTTGTGTCACACAAACCTGATTTTTTTATGGTTTAACCACGTTGATGTAATCTTAGATGTCTGTAAAGCCTTGGGCACAGTACCACATGATATTCTGAATAAAACATTACAAAATACAGACTACAAAACATAAATGTAGCACTTATCAAATTGTTTTAAAACTATCTAACAGATAATCTCAAAATAACTTTTAACGGGGAACCATTTCTTGTGAGGCTCTCCCTATGGATCTGCTCCTGGACCAATGTTGTTCAATATCTTTATTAATTATCTGGATGAAAATACAAAAGCTTTACTAGTAAAAACCTGCAAATGACACAAACTGGAAGAGGTGTAAGTCATAATCAGGACAGGTCAGCTCTAGAGATAGACTGGATTCATTTGATGAATATGCATTTTAACAGAGCCAAATGCAGGATTATACAACTAGAAACCAGGAGTGTAAATCATGGCTATAAGATAAAGGACTGTATTTTGAAAATCCGTGACTCAGAAAAGGACTTTGGATCAGCAAGGATAATGTGTTTTCAGGGCAATGGTATGTCTTAGACACCAAATGTGTCTATAGTAGGGATGTTAAATATCAGTTAATTGAATAGTAGATTAACCTCATGAATTCTTATCGGTTACTAGACTATTCTATAGTCCCTGTGGGTGAGGCTGGCAGACAGTGAGCTCCGGCCCCACTTCCGAGGAGCCCCCTGCCTCTCCACGCTGCTGCCTCTGTATCAGAGGCAGCAGCGTGGGGTGGCAGCAGCCCCTGTACAGGGGCGCTCAGAGCTCCCAGAACTAGTGCAAGTTGGAACGGAACCGGGCTTCCTGCCCGCCTGGCTACGAATACACTTTAAATGCAGAACTGCAGCAGGGGTAGGTCCCAGATCCGGCGCAAGCCAGGACTGAACCAGGCTGCCTGCCTGCCCGGCTCCTAATACACTTGAAATGCAGAGCTGCAGGAGCAGTAGCACAAGCTGGACTTGGCACAATCTGGGACTGAGCTGGGCTGCTGGCCAACTTGCTAAAATATTTACTGGCAAAGGAGGGTGGAGGGAAATGCATGTAGTCTATAGCATTAATTTATAAGCTTTTGCTTATTGGTTAATCAGTTAATTGACTTCACTATAACATCCCTAGTCTATAGACATACACCCCAAAGAATATCGAATACTTGTTTTTACCTCTGTATACCAGCATTAGTGAGATCATAACTGGAATTCTATACTATAAAAAGGATGTTGACAAGTATGGAAAAGTTCAGAGCTATAAGAACAATCTGAAGTCTGGATAACCTGCCTTGCAAAGAGATACAAAAGAGAAGATTAAGAGATAACTTGATCACAATCTAAGTACTTACATAGGGAGAAAAACTGACAGTGGAAGGCTATTTAAATTCACAGAAAAAGGTTTAATCTGACCCAATGGTTAGTAGCTGAAGCTAGATAAATTCAGGCAAGAATTAAGCTGTAACTTTTAATGGTGAGGGTAATGTAACCTTTGGAACATCGAAGAACATGATAGATTCTCTTCAAGTGTTTAAATCAGGCTGGGATATCTGCTGAATTATATGCTCTAACTCAGGGGTGGGGAACCTCAGGCCTGGGGGCTGACTTGAGCGGATCCGCCTGGGCCTCCCTAGACTCTGGTGTGCAAGAGGAATGTGGGGAGTGCCTTCTTCTCAATTGGGGGCCACGACAGTGAGGGTTGATTGGGGGGAAGGGGAGGTTGCTTCTCTCTGGTGTGCAGTCCTTGACTGAGTTTTCTGTGAGTAAGCAGCCCATGACCCAAAAAGGTTCCCCATCACTGCTCTAACTTAACCAGACATTGTCTTGATGCAGGAATCAGAGAGTGAAATTCTATGACCCATGTTAGGTCAGAGACCAGTCTAGATCATAACGGTCCTTTCTAACATTAATTTTGTTAAGTCTATAATAGCTCTTAATGCCCCAAAATCCTGGGTAAAAACATAAACCTTGCAGTGTGCCTGGAAATTCCACTGATCTGACTATTTCAAACCAATGGGAGAGGAAAGAGTTGTGGCCTGGGCCCTTCAGGATAAACTCTCTGTCAAAAGCCTCCAGTGTATAGAGGGGGTTCTAGTTTAAGCTTCTCAGCTAACTATAGCTGCAATTGGATGACGTGGAAAGAGGCTCACTCTGTCCTATATGCAGATCCCAAGGGCATTTTTAGCAATCGTACCATGTTGGCAAAGAGCCCAGATTATGGATTTCAGAGAAGGAAGTACAATTTTTCCAGGAGGAATCCTGATAGTTTAATATTTACTTTTCTCTTAAGTCCTAACAGTTGTCTAGTAGCACTAGCACCCATGGAGTTCATGTTATGAAAACATCCAAGAAGTGAGCCTGAGCTTTAAGCAAAGAAATATAAAACTAAATTAGCATTACATCCAGATTATAAACAAAAATTACCTTAAGAGCCATTGACCAGTTTGATTGTTCAAGAATTTCCTTTTACTCTGAAAGCAATAAAGACATCCTTATAATAATGCTACATAATGTAATAAAACAATTCACACATCTTCCCAATTCCCCAAGGAAGTGGTAGGTATTATCCTCTTTTCACGGACGAGGAAACAAACAGATTACTGGCGACATTTTCAAAAAGTGGCCACTAGTTTTGGGGCCCTTAATTTTTTGGGTGTCCAATTTTACAAAGCTTGGGCATGGTTTTCAGATGTACTAAGCACCTATTTCTCACCAATTTCAAGTGGAATGCGTGATGCTCAGCACCTTTGAAAATCATGGTTTACACACCAACTCAACAGCCTCATTTGAAAATGCTGGCCTAACGCAAGTCCGCATATCGAGTCAATGTTCAGAATTCCCTTCTGACAGGCCCTTGATAGCAGCAACTCTCACCAGCCTCACATGCATTTGACAAAGTGGGTCTTTCCCCACGAAAGCTTATGCTCCAATACATCTGTTAGTCTATAAGGTGCCACAGGACTCCTTGTCACTTTTACAGATCCAGACTAACACGTCTACCCCTCTGAAACTTGACAGCCTAACATAGTAATGCAAACTTATAAAATATTTATTCAGGAGCCTGAAATACATCGTTAAAATGTTGTATAATTTAACACCACCAATCAACTATTGCCTAAAAGTACTCTATTTTTTATAAAGCTTTACTGTTTCAAATAATTTAAAATTCTATTTCTTCATTAAAAAATGTGAGCAAGAATACTGCAGTATATTGAATATTGTTGAAAATTATAAGCAACCATATGCAGGTGGTCCCCGACTTGTGACGCGATCGGTATCTGGGGACACGTTGCAAGTCGGGGGCATCATAACTCAAACCCTCATTTACAATAGGCATCGTGCGCTGTTGTAAATGTGGGCCAAGGACATAAGTCAGGGTTTTTTGGCCCCTCCTGCACTTATAACCATTTTTGTAAGTGCAGGGGGTCGCATCTCAGGCAGTCGCATCTCGGGGGTTTCCCATAATTAAAAAAAAACTATTAAGAAATCCAGTAACTGACAGATTAGATTTCCTGATTATCCATTTAAGTCTTTCTTGTAAAATTTATGAAATACCATGCTAACCCAAACCTTTTGACATTGTTAACTTTTGTAAAAGACTCACTGTCAATGTACAGTAATCAAATAAAACCTAAATTGAAAATAAATTTTACTTGAGTTTAAATATCAATTCCTAAGTAGCTCATTTTTCATATACTGTAGCAAATTAACTGTAACAGTTCGCTCTCACACATACTTTGGCATGCCACTAACTAGTCTTAGTTTTTTTTCTAGGAAGCATTTTTTTAAACTCCTGTTCCAAAAATCAGGAATGAAATCTTAAAATATAAATGTTTTTGTAAAGTCTAAAGTACTTACTGTATGACTACTGTGCCCGTTGCATTAGCATCGACCATTCCCCTTTGTAAAGATTCTACAATATGTTCACTCAGCAGAATGACTCCATTCAAAAGACTTTAGTAGAGTTGAAGTTGCTATGGAGACAATAAGCCAAACAAGAACCCTGTTTAGTTTACTCAGTGGGCCAGATCTTCAACCCAAGCAAAGTGAAATCAGTGAAGCTATGACATTTTACAACAAATGAGAATCTGGCTTCTGGCTTCAGGTGTCCTTGACAATACACATGTTATGGTTAATTTTTAGCAAGACCTGTATTATTTAAATAATTTGCTCTACAGAGGCAATGGGCCACATTCAACCCTTGAGTTACACTAGTTTTTGACTTACCATTTTTCCATTAGAATGTTTGATAAATTCTCTTCCATGTAAGGAATATTCAATGCTACCATGCCCCTCACTGGGCAGTGTAACTGCGGAGAATATTTTCATTATGCACATTGTTAGGTTCTGTAAAAGTTAAAAATGCTGAAAAATCTTGTCTGTGTCAGGCAAAACTGTGAGAAATAATGAACTAGAAATAAAACACACTTACATAAAAAAAGTGAGAAACTGCACAATACCACCAGCCTTCTTGCCAGGACACATGGAAAGTTATATAATAACGAATGCCACCAGATAACATTTGTAAACTTGAATTCAGTGGCTGATGGCCAACCACTTCACTAGTGCCATTGTGTAGTGTTGTGTAAATGTTGTTTCCTATGTAAAATCCATCAATATAACAAGGTGTTCTGTGTGCTAAGACACATGTGTAGTATCTGACGTTTTGTACCTCCCTTAATCAGGACA